TTAACTAATTGAATTTAAATAAAATAAATAAAAATTTAAAAAATAAGACATATACAGTGTCTGGTGAAAAGTATAAAATTCTGATGCAGAAAATCATAAAATAATCTAAATAAATGAAGTGACGCACCATATTCATAGATTGGAAAGTTCAATAATATACAGTAAAGATTTACAATATCTTCCTAAATTGCTCCATAGGTTTAGCAGAATTTGTATCAAGATCACAGCAAAGATTTTAAAACAGATAAGTTTATTCTAAAATGTATATGGAAAGGAGACCCTAGAATAGCAAAAACAATTTTGAAAAAGAAGAAAGTGGTAGGAATCACTTTTACTAATGTCAAAGGTTACCATAGAGTTATAATAATCAAACCAACATAATGATAGTAGAAAAATGATACAGAGATCAATGGAACAGAATAGAGAAGTGAGAAATACACCAACACAAAAATGTCCAATTAATTATTGACAAAGAAACAAAAATATGAATGACTCAGTGTTTTGGCATCCTTACTAATATCCAATAATATCACTTTTTAAAGTCATTCTATTAAGTGTGTATTAATATCTCTTGTGGTTTTAATTTGCACTTCCCTAGGATAGTGATGTTGAGTATCTTTAAGATGTTTATTTGGCATCTGTATATTCTCTTCAGTGAAAACTGTTCATATATTTGCCCATTTTCTAATTAGACTGTGTTTTTTAAAATGTTGAATTGTCACCTCAGAAAAAGCTTTTGAAAAAATGTTTTGGTCTCAGAGAAAACAAATTACAGACATGGAAAAAATGCGTTCATATCAGATATCTAATAAAATATATATCTAGGAAACAAACAAAAACTCTGACAATTCAACATTTTAAAAAACACAGTCTAATTAGAAAATGGGCAAATATATGAACAGAGTTTTCACTGAAGAGAATATACAGATGCCAAATAAACATCTTAAAGATACTCAACATCACTATCCTAGGGAAGTGCAAATTAAAACCACAAGAGATATTAATACACACTTAATAGAATGACTTTAAAAAGTGATATTATTGGATATTAGTAAGGATGCCAAAACACTGAGTCATTCATATATTATTAGTAGGAATGTCAAATGTTATGGTGTCTCTGAAAAATAGTTTGACAGTTGCTTTTAAAATTGCAAATGGCTCACCATCAACCCAGTAATTTCACTATTGAGGATGTTTCCCAAGGAATTTAAATTTTACTTTTGTGCAGTATTTTCTACACAAGTGTTCACTGAAGATCTATTCATAATAGTTAAAAATTGGCAACCACCCAAATGTCCATCAATAGTTTGATACATCCATACAAGGGAATACTAGTCATCAATAAAAATAAATGGAATATTTATACATGCAACAAATTCTGATATAGTTCAAAGAAATAATGGAAGAAAAAGAAGCCAATATCCAAGAGATACAAGCTGTATGATTCCATATATATAACATTCATGAAATAACATAAATAGAGGCATAGAAGTAATGGTCACCAGGAGTTAGGAATGGCAGAAAAGGGGATCAGTGTAGCTATATAAAGGGGTGATATTAGGAGCCATATAGTGATGATACACTTGTGTATCTTGATTGTGGTGATGCTTACACAAATTTGAACATCTGATAAAACTGCATGAAACTAAATACAAAGACACATATGTGCTCACACACATACACACATACACATATGAGTGCCTGTATACTGGTGAAATCTAAATAAGGGCTGTGTATTTTAATAATGTCTATTTCCTTGTTTGCTACTCTGCTATAGTATTAAAACATGTTAACACTGACAGAATCTGAGTAAGTGTTACACAGGACTTCTATCTGCATTTCATTGCAACTTTTTGTGAATCTATAGTTATCTCAATGTAAAAAGTTAAATAAGTCACAAGGGGATATTATTAGACATCTGCAACTGGGAAAACAAAATCAAACAAAACAAAAAAATGACAGTATCAATTGCTTGTGAAATGTGTAGCATCCGTGCAGAGAAACTGGAACTCTCATAGATGATGGAAAGAAGGAGAGCTGGGATAGTCACTTTACAAATAGTTTGTTTCTTATAAAATTAAAAATACACTAAGTAAAAACTAAAAACTTTAATAAATGACCCAAAAATCTTACTCCTAGGTATTTACCAACCAAAAAAAGAGAACTTACATACAAGAGAGGTCTATGTGCATGTTAATAGCAGGTTTATTTATAATTGCCAAAATCTAGAAACAACCCAAATACCTTTCAATGGGTGAATGGATAAGGAAATTATAGTGCATCATTTCAATATAGAAGCCTACTTAGATATTTATCCAAAGGACACAAAAATACAGATTCAAATACATGCACCCCAAAGATTATAGTTGTGTTATCAATAATAGCCAAACTATGGAGAAAGCCCAAATGTTCATCAACTGATGAATGGATAAAGATGTGGTATATGAATAAATATATACTTAGATATATATTAATATAATGGAATATTAGTCATCAAAAAGAATTCTTGCCATTTGCAACAATGTGGAGCTAGAATGTTTTATGCTAAGCAAAATAAGTCAAAGACAAATATATGATTTCATTCATACTTGAAATATAAGAAAACAGACGCACATATGGGAAGGCAGGAAAAAGGAGAGAGGGGAATAAAACATAAGAGTTTGTTAAGGGTAGAGAACAAACAGGGTTGATGGAGGGACGTGGGTGGGGAGGGGCTAATGGAAGATGGGTATTAAAGAGGACACTTGTAATGAGCACTGGGTGTTGATGTAATTGATGAGTTACTGAATTCTTCATTTCAACATTTATTTACTTATTTGAGAGATATTGAGTGGAGGAGAGGGACAGGGGGAGGAAGAATCTTAAGCAGACTGCACTGAGCACAGAGCCCAGACACAGGACTTGATCTCCCAACCTTGAGATCACGACCTTAGGAGAAACCAAGAGTCAGGTACTTAACTGACTACACCACCCAGGTGCCCTGAACTACTAAATTCTACTCCTGAAACCAATATTGCACTGTGTATTAACTAAGTAAAATTTAAATTAAAAATTTTTAAAAAGAAGCCTCATTAACCATAAAAGAATGAACAATTAATAACACCTAGCTGTCTCAATTGGTAGAGCTCGAGACTTAATTTCGCTGTGAATTCAAGCCTGGAGCCTACTGCAAAAAAAACCAGAAAACTATTAAAACATATGGCAACAGGAATGTATCTCAAATTCATATGTACTGTATATGACATTCTGGAAAAGTCAAATCTATAGGGACAAGAATAGGTCATTGGTTGCCAGGAATTGGCAGTTGGGTATGAATACAAAGCAGAAGCCAGAGAGAAATTTTGAGGTAATAGATCTATTGTGTATCATGATTGTGGCAGTGAGAACAAGAGTATGTGCATTTCTTCAATGCCCTTGAATTATATGCCACAGAGTGAATATCACAGTATATCATTTATAAAACCCAAATATGTTTAATAAAAATATTTTTAAAAAGATAACAACAGCTAGGAGGTTTTTTAAAATTTCCCAAAACACATTATGCTATAGTTTGAAGAATCACAGCCAACCCAAGCAGGATAAATTCAAAGAGAAACATGTCTTGGGCAGCGCCGGTGGCTCAGCAGTTTAGCGCCACCTTCAGTCCAGGGCGTGATCCTGGGGACCAGGAATCGAGTCCTATGTCAGGGTCCCTGCATGGAGCCTGCTTCTCCCTCTGCCTGTGTCTCTGCCTCTCTCTCTCTCTCTCTCTCTCTCTCTCTCTCTCTCTCTCTCTCTCTATCTCTCATTAATAAACAAATAAAATATTAAAAAAAGAAATGTCTTAATTGTAGTGAAACTGTGGAAAATCATATAAAATACATATAAAAGAAGTCTGAAACTCAAAGAATAAAAGAAGCATTATATTATTGAGATGAATAGAATAATAAGAATGATATTGTATTCTCATCAGAAAAGGAAGCTAAGATACAATTGAATTACATCTTTGAACAACTAAAAGAAAAAATTCTCAATATAGGATTCTAATTCCAGTGAAAATACTTTTCACAAATTAAGACATTTTTATAAAAACCATTTTTATTTGAGACAATTGCTCATCACAAAGTAAAACAAAAGAAGTAAAAAAGGGAGTTTTTCAGAGAGAAAGAAAATGACCCACATGCAATTTGAACGTCCAAAGAGAGTTGAAAAGCACTTAAAAACAGTAAATGGATGAGTAAATGTAAATATTTATATTCAAAAAGTTAAAAATTCCATTGTCTAAGGCAAATATAATAGCATTATCAGATTTATAATGTATATAAGTAAAATAGAAAAAAAAAGTGCAATTGATGAAAAACATTAAAGAAATTATACTGTTAAGATTTTTATATTGTGAATTTAGAAAAACAAATATGGTATATTTGTTCATGAATGTTCATCAAATAAAATTTTAAAATGATTTGTGCCATCTACTATCCATATCCTATGGATATGGAAGATCTGATTAACTTTCCCTTTTGAAAAGAGAAACTTAAAAGATGCAACTTGCTGTGAACTATCTAACATGGTAATAGCTAACATCCTAGAAATATTTGGAGTATATAATAAAACTATCACCTATTGTATAATCAAACTATACCTATCTAGAAAATTCTGCTATATATAGAAATGGTTTTGGCAACCATGGTTAAAATTAAGGAGAGATCTATTAAAATGTTCATTCCTAGATTGGAATTAAAAGCATATAAAAATTTTGATTGGCAGTATGATCTAGAGCTGTACTGTTTAATGACGTTGCCACCAAGCCACAAGTGGCTACTTAAAGTAAAATAAAATGGGGGATCCCTGGGTGCTCAGTGGTTTCATGCCTGCCTTTGGCCCAGGGCATGATCCTGGAGTCCCAGAATCAAGTCCTGCGTCGGGCTCCCGGCATGGATCCTGCTTCTCCCTCTGCCTGTGTCTCTGCCTCTCTCTCCCTCTCTCTCTTTTTCTCTCTCTCTCTGTCTATCGTGAATAAATAAATAAAAGTTAAAAAAAAGTAAAATAAAATGGAATTTTTAGATTCCTAGTTGTACTATCCGTATGTCAGGTACTTGATAGACACATAGTCTGTGACGATGTAAACCATCTTTCTGTGATGGCAGAAAGCTCTTCGAAGCACACTCATCGAGATACTAACTTCCCCTATTCCAAAACCCGTTATCAATACTTCCTCCTGGTGATATTCGTGATGGTTTACAAAGTGGAGGAGAATATCCAACATCACAGTGACAATGAAGCAAATTATTGCAAACCTGAAACCAAAACCAAATAAAAAATGAGAACATTTTATGTACAAAATAAAAATTATATATATTTTTCTGATTGTGAGTCAATGTAAATTATTAAAGTATTATAATTTATATATTATAGTTTTTATTTCAATGTGGAAAATATTTTTAAAATAAAATGTAATATAATAAATTCCCATGCAATTTGTTGCTATTATAACTTTCAAATGTCATATTTTCTTTTGTTTCATATATTTTTAAATTTTTATTTAAAAGCTAAAAGTAGATAAGCTTCTTGATAGAACTGAAATGCCTTATTCCAGAAAGGCATAAAATTATGACCCCCAAAATTATACTAATAATCAGAGAAATGCAAATCAAAACTACAATGAGGTATCACCTCACACCAGTCAGAATGACTAGTATCAAAACAAGAAAAACAAGCATTGGTGAGGATGTGGAGAAAAGGGGACTATTGTGCATTGTTGGTGGAAGTGTAAATTGGTAGTCACCATCAAAAACAGTACAGAAGTCCCTCCAAAAAATAAAAATAGAAATATATAAATTCAGTAATCCTACTACTGAATATTTACCCAATGAAAACCAAAACACTAATTAGAAAAGTTATAAACTCCTGTTTAGTGCAGCAGTATTTATAACAGAAAAGATATGGTAACAACTTAAGTGGCTAACAGTAGATGAATGGATATATAGATGTAATATAAATAAACAATGGAATGTTACTCAGCCATAAGAGAGAGAGAGAGACAGAGACAGAGAGACAGAGAGACAGAGAGATCTTGCCATTTGTGACAACATGAATGGACCTAGGAGGTATTGTGCTAAGTGAAGTAGATCAGACTGAGAAAGACAAATACGAAATGATTTCACTCATATTTGGAATTTAAAAAATAAAACAATGAATAAACAAACAAAAAGAATTAGACCCATAAATACAGAGAACTAGTGATTATCAGAAAGGAGAGTAGTGGTAGAAAGGGGAAAAATGGGTGGAGAAGAATGGGAGATGCAGGTTCCAGTTATGGGATGAACAAGTCACCGGGATGAGAGGTTCAGCATAGGGAATATAGTCAATGATACTATAATAGCAGATGGTAGCTATATTTGTGGTTAGGATAGCATATTTTACAGTTATGAAAGAGATTTGAATAAGCAAGAATTTCAGCTCTCAGAAAAATATTAGATTATATTATGTGTAATATAAATATATTAAGTGTTCAAGTATTTATCAATACACATACACTCAACCACAAGCAATATTTACGTGTATGTTAAATGAGTATGAGTTAATCCTTAATAAAATCATTTCCAAATTGTCATAATCTTAATCTAATGTAATAGTCTATATTTTATATTGTTTTTGTACAAAGTTCAAAGCTCATAAGGCCTATAATAATGTGACTGAACACTATTATATATGCCATATATATGTATAAATAATGGAATCTACTTTCCTTATTTTAGCTGCAAATTTTCAAATTTCTGTATCAAATAATTCTACCTCATTATCTTGAACAATGTTTTTGATGCGAATTAAAATAACTATACTTAGAAATGAAATAACCATTACATACCCCATGTCCACTGCAATTTAGTTTTGAGTCACAGTTTGTTCTCTGTGTAAATGAAGTCCTAGAAGAGCACTGTCCCAGGTAACAGTACTAAAATGTTAAAACCACAAACAAGAACTGTAAATATAAAGCCAAGAGTTGAGCAATTGTACTTGCTACAAAAATTAGATGCATATGTTTTATATTTATGTCATATATTATGAATATGAATATATAATATGAATATGGAATTCATGACACATACTTATTCTAAAAAAGAATTTGGGAGTCCAAAAAGCATGTTATTATTTTACCAAAAAAAATTTGAGAATGAGATATTATTTCTTTCTTATGAGGGAGCACGGCTATGAGTTTATTGATATACTGACACTAATTGGTATAAGAACAAAAATAGGCAAGTTGTACTGACTATTTATAATTAGCTTGGGTCTTTCTTTGCACCTTCTTTGTATTTTTATAATACATACTCATATATACTCAAAGGAAATGTTTTTATTTTCATTTTATATGTGATGAGAATGTATTCCTAAATTCATGTATAAGTTATTGACACAGCCAATATTCAGTGCAAGAACTCCTTAAGAACAGAAATACATATTGATCAATGCTAAATAATAATGTTTCTTGTCTTTTTAATATTTTTCCAACTTTAATGACAATATCTCTTATCTTTCACATTAGTGCTAAAACAAGTTATTTAATCTCTGCATACCTCCATTTATCCATCTTTGAATTTGGAATAGCAATTATATTTAAATTTTTTAAAAGTACGGTATAAGGATGAAATAATTTGTTAGACATAAAGGAACAAAAGCAGTGTCTGGTGCATAGTAAATGCACACTCAATATAAGATATAATCTTAATTATTATTTATTTGACCTGATTTCTATATAAGCTCTATGTATTCCTCCATCCAAATTTTAATTTAATTTGAACATCTTTCGGGGAGTCTGTTAGTTATCTGTTGGCTTTTCTCAAGTTATCTGATAGAATATTTACTATTTAATGAATACTATTAAAAACCATTATTTTCTATCACCATTAATCAATTATCACCATAAGGGAAAGAATATCAGCTTGTTCATTTACTGAGAGTGCTCTGATGAAGCCAACAAGAATGACAAAATGTTGGAAAAACCAGCATTACCTGTCCACAAAACCATTTTAATTCTAGTGCTCCTTAAACATTGTCCCTGAGGCAATAGCCAACTAGTCATATTTCATTGGGTTGTCCTTAGGGGGAAAATAAGCCAGGAAAAGTTAAGACCTATGCTTCTGATACAGTTTCCTTCAAGTAAACAGATCAATTTGTAGCTGGCTCTTTTGTAATGACAGCAAAAGCAAGAGACACCATAAAAGTACTCAGCCCTGGGCAATGGCTGGAATGATGTTTTGAATATAAACTAATACACAAGCTTCCTCCTTTGAATAAGAGACACAAAGGGTGTCACAGAAGCAGACACATCATGGTTCAAAGAAAAGAATATATAAGTAAATACATATTTCCTAAAGTGAAATGCCTGGATTATGTAAGCATTTTTCTCATATAGTACAAGGTATGAGTAAGAAAAAGGCAGTTAATTTTATTTATTTATTCAATAGTTAGCTTATCTTATTTTGGATAATTAAATGTATCAAACATACCCCTTTTCAAGTGTAAAATGAATGTGCTGAGGTGTGTTTATCTTCCCTAGGCTACATGTGTGAACTAGAAATCACTTCAATAAACATTTCTCCTGTTCTGAGTCTTATAAATAAAAAAAAAATCAAAAAAGCCTTCTATCACATCCAATATTAAACAAACTTGCATTGTTGGAATAATGCTTATCTCCATGTGGTGTACTTTGCACTCAGTATATTAAATACATGTGTTTTATTTAAAATTTCATTGTGATTAGTAAGAGAGACCTCTTTTCTGTTAATAAGTAAGATATAAAGTCTCCCCTCTCTCCCTCTTTCTCTTCTTACCTATCAAGATAATTTTTACAAAGGACCCACATTTAATGAGAGTAAGGTAAAGAAGTCTTTCCTTTCCGACCACTCTGAAATCAACTGAATAATGTAGAATAACGGATGAAAATAACATGTATCCTTAATGAATTTTTTAAACAATCATAGAATAATTTCAATTTAAGTTCACAGACATGGCAGTCATGATTGTTCTCCCTTTCCTAATTAATGTAAGTTAAGGAGAAACAGAACAAACCAATTAGAAGATGAGAGAGTTAAGAACTTCCTGGGGTTTTGAAATAAAATGAAGGCCACTGGTGGATAAAATGCAGTGTGGAAGCGACCACATCAAATACAATGATAAAAGAGAGAGCCTAGTTGATCAGCCACACAATGCTCTGGAGGAGCTGCAGCCTCAGAGTAATAAGGAAAAGCAGAGAAGAAGATCCAAAAAGGTTGGGCAGGGAGGCTAACAGGTGGAATTATCCATGGAAGTCTGTCCACAGAACCACAGAAGTAGTTCTCTTATATTCACTACTTACCTCTCCTCTCTCTCAATTACAAAATGCAGCCAACACAACATTTTTATCCCAAGGGAAAAATTAGAAATGTATTTTGTTTCCTAAAGCAATTGAATTAATGATGACTATAGAATTTAGGCTTTCCAAGTGGTCTGTCCTCTAGGAGAGTCACTATCCAATTGAACTACAGAATGTACCACAGCCTAAATGGCCACTTCCGAAATGAAGACTGTGACAAGTCCCCGTCATATGGAGGTTTGTCAATTAATTGTTTTTTTGTTTGTTTTTAATTCTAGGTAGTTAACATACAGTGCAATTTTGGTTTCTGGATTAGAGCACTGGGTGTGACATGTAACACTGATGAATCACTGAATTCTACTCCAGTTTTGTTTTGTTTTTAATTGGTGTGGGAGTAAAAAGTCCTGCCAACTTAAAGTTCCTACTAACCAAGTAGGAACCATTTTCCTTCTTTCTTTTCCTTCCCTTCTTCTCCCTTCCCTTTTCTTTCTCCTTCACTCTTTTCTTTTCCCTCCATAGGCACATTGGTCAGATGGGCATAAGCTAGTGATCAGACTTTCCCAGGCAGAGAATCACTGATGGAGAGAGGAGTGATCTCTAAAGCTTTTAGTGGTCATATGGGGCAGTGGGACAAAGAACCATGGCAATCTTCTGTGGCATTTGTATGCCTAGGTCCCATATTGTTTTATTTTACTTATTACCACTGTAATTGTATTTTTTCCTGTACATGTTATTTTACTCTCATTATTTTTAAGATTCTTTTTCTTTGCCTTTAATTTTCAGAAATCTCATTATGCTGTATCCTGCTGCAGATTTGCTGGGTTCATCCTATATGATGTTCTTTGCTTTTTGTATCTGTGTGTTTACCTTTTGCCAAGTTTGGAGACATACCAAACGTTATTTCCTGAAATACTTTTCCATCCTTAAATTCTTTCTCCTATTCTCCTAGGATCTTAGAATGGCTTTTATCATGACAAAAAGTAATAACAAACATTTTTGAAAATGTAGAGAAAAGGCAGCCCTTGTGCTCTATTGATAGAAATGTAAATGAGTGCAGCCACTATAGAAAATAGTATGGAGGTTCTTACAAAACTTAAAAAATGGAAACATCACATAATACAGCAATTCCACTTCTGAGTATTTATCCAAAATAAACGAAAACATGTAACTCAAAAATATATATCCAAAAGTATTTATCCAAAAACATATATCCAAAAGTATTTATCCAAAATAAATGAAAACATGTAACTCAAAAATATATATCCACCTGCACATTCATTGCAGAATTATTTACATAGCCAGGATATGCAAGCAACTGAAGTGAATGAATGTATGGATCAAATGTAGCAAATATACACAATGGAATATTATTCATCCATAAAAATGAATTAAATCTTGCCATTTGTGACAACATGAATGGACCTTGAGAACATTAGCTGATTGAAATAAGTCAGACAGAGAAAGACAAATATTGTGTGATCTTACTTCCATGTGTAATTTAAACAACAACAAAATATGAGCTCATAGATGCAGAGAACAGGTTGGTTCCCATGATTCCGATGATGGGGGTTTGAGGGAGTGGATAAAGTGGGTGTCAGAGCCAAAAATTACAAACTTTCAATTATAAAGTAAATAAATACACAATGAAGAGTATAGTATAGTACGGTGACAAGAGTTAATAACGCTGTATTGCATATTTGAAACTTGCTAAGAGAGTAAAATTTGAAAGTTCTCAATATAATAAAAAAATATCATGACTATACAGTAGTGGATGTTAACTAGACTTCTTGCATTGGTCATTTCACAATATATACAAATATTGAACCCCTATGTTGTACACCTGAAACTAAGGTAATGTTATATTTTAACTGTTTGTGAGTTAAAAATAGTAACAAAATGTAATTTCTAAAAATCAATAAAATGTGTAATAACATATTGACTCCATACATATTTCTAAATCACTTTCCAGAAAGAATGTGCCCAGTTATATTTGTTTTAGGATGGTAATAAGTTATGCTTCTCATCATCAGTTATTATTTTTAACTCCTATTTGATTAGACAAAAACTAGCTGGATATTCATATAGTTTGTATTTATTTCACCAACCCACAAGAACACCAAATCTCATCATTCAGAAGTTTTTATAGTGTTCAATCTCTTAACCATATTACTTCCCTTCCTGAAGCTTATGATGAAGCTAAAATTTAATCACTTGGTCTTACTAGTGATCAGCTCCATCATAAAGTTATCCTAGAGGCCCCATTCTGTCACTTTGTTAAGTGTAAATTAGTTTGATTGAAAGAGGCTTTTTATGAACAACAAAAAACATTCCTATCACTCATGAAATTCCAAGGAGTTTAGAAGCTCTGTGCTAGAAATAAGGGACAAAGACCAAATTATTTTTGTGTGTTATACCACATGTATACCATTTAAGTGTTTTTTTTCCCTCCTAATTGATGAATGCTTGAATTGGCTGATAAATTTATGTATTTAATCTCTCACATTCATAGTAAACATTTTTTTCAGTTTGTCTGAAATGTCTTTAAAATAATAACATATTATTATTTTTTTAAGATTTTATTTATTTATTCATGAGCAACACACAGAGAGAGAGAGGCAGAGACACAGGCAGAGGGAGAAGCAGGTTCCATGCAGGGAGACTTATGTCGGGCTCCATCCCAGGACCCCAAGATCATGCCCTGGGCCAAAGGCAGCCACTCAACCGCTGAGCCACCCAGGCATCCCCGGAATGACCTATTATAAAGGAGTCAGCACTAGTGTGTTCCCTTTGATTATTTCATTAATTTTATGTGAGAATGTTTTCCCATTTTGAGATAAATTTACTATTCATTTCCATTTTTCTCTATTTTTTGTTTCTTAAAATTTTGCATCTCAATGTAAATTATCTAAATTCAAATGTGAAATACTTGAGTAGTGTTTTACATTAGTCAATTTTTCAATGGTAGTAGTTTAACAGTCCTTTATTTTGTTTCTTAAGCTATTTAAGAAAAAGAAAAATAAATAAGGCTTAAACTCCATTTCTTTATTGTGTCTTGTGGGAGGACCAAATTTTTAACAAGTATTTGTTATGCTTTTGGAAAAACAATTAGGGGATTTGGCTAATGAGCAAATAACTGTTTTATTTTCATTACAACCAAATTAATTCTTCCTGTCAATAATTGCTGGACTAAATACTTGGCTATTTTGTTTTCTTTGTTCTTATTATTCAGATTGTTTTCACCTATTTTTTGGTTGTTTATATCAATTTTTGCAAACCAGATCCTAGCCTAATTAAGAGGCTAATATTCTCAAGTATGAGAAAACAAGTTTAAATATAATTACTCAGCCATTAGAAACGACAAATACCCACCATTTGCTTCAACGTGGATGGAACTGGAGGGTATTATGCTGAGTGAAGTAAGTCAATCGGAGAAGGACAAACAGTGTATGTTCTCATTCATTTGGGGAATATGAATAATAGTGAAGGGGAAAACAAGGGAAGGGAGAAGAAATGTGTGGGAGATATCAGAAAGGGACACAGAACATAAAGACTTCTAACTCTGGGAAATGAACTAGGGGTGGTGGAAGGGGAGGAGGGCGGGGGGTGGGGGTGAATGGGTGACGGGCACGGAGGGGGACACTTGACGGGATGAGCACTGGGTGTTATTCTGTATGTTGGTAAATTGAACACCAATAAAAATTAATTTATTAAAAAAAATAAATAAATAAATAAATAAATACTATACCAAAATTCATAATAAACAAAATGATACTGAAGCATGTGTTCCTTTGACCAACAGAAATTTTGAACTTTAAAGCTTAAGATCAAAAAAATAAAAAAAAAGCTTAAGATCATGATATAGTAACCAAAATTTGTAATGTAAATTATAATATTAAGGTCTTTTCTGTCTCTCTCATATGTGTGTATGTGCACATACACACACACACACACACATACACTCCCATACTTTATCAAGTCAAATTTTTACTTACCCTATCTGGACCGCACATAGTGCCATTTGATGTATAGGTAATATCTTCTCTTATATGTGCTGCTGGTGTTCTCAAATATGCAGAGACACACAAATGGCCTTCCATGTAAGTATACTGAATATCAAATTTTTTAAATGGTATTATTTCTAAATGTGTCCAGTGACAAACTATCTTTCCACATAAGATATCCCTAACAATATAAGGCAGAAAAAAGTATTTATATGATACTAGGGATGCAAATATTAGGGAAATAACTGTTTAAAATATGAAATTAATTGAAAATGTTACAGATAAAAGCTATTCAGAACAAAACAATCTTAGGAAGTGGAACATGAATATCTATCTGTACATAATACATTTATTTCTCACTTGCATTAAGCAACTCTCTGCAGTACAAACATACCAACAAAATTGGAAAATTTATAATTTTCTAAATACACACCTAAAATTACAAAATCCTCCTCTACAGTTTCCAAAATCATCATCCTGCATATTCACTTCTTGTGTGCACAGAGAAGTAGAACCCTTTGCAACTGAAAAATATAAAGTTCCAATTACTCATCTTAAAAAAATAAAACACTAAAAGTATAGTAAACTAATATGGAGACATCTAGATGAAAGCAATGCCCAGTCAGTGTCAGCTACTATAAATTTTTGGTGTAATCTACTGGCTATACAAGAAGAAGAGTTACTAAAAACTATCCACTTGGGAATAAGAAAATTGCTATCATAGTGAAGAAATTATTAAGAAATCAACCATTTACTCCTTTATCTGTAATTCTAATATTCTACTCTTTTTCCACCAATCACCTGAAATTTAACTAATATCTTATTTTCTCTTTGCCCTGTAATTATTAGATCTATCTACCTCTTCATGTAGTTTGAGGTTGTTTTGACTTGCAATTTTATTTTCAAATTTGGATTTACACAAACAATATCTTTTATCATGGCTATAGGGTAGATTACTGAATTTAGGAAAATATAGTTTAAAAATGAATCCCTGAGGAGCCCACACAGGAAAGACAAATTCCCATAATATTTGGCTTTGAAAGCAAGAGGAGCCAAATTTTATAAATTCTTACAATCAGCAAGACTTAAAGCTTAGAATTTTAAAAATCAGCAGCTAGGCTCTGTTTGAACCCAGAGGGCATTAGGAAGCTGAGTCTTCATTCAGACAGCAGGACAAACAGTCAAAAGAGTTACAGCATGGAAGTAGCAGTTTGAAAAACACCATAGACAAACATGAGGGAGAAGGATTTACTCATCTTGGAGCATTGTCCAGAGAAGCAAGATCATGGAAAAATACCTCCAGGAATAAAAGCTGTCAGGTGCCATTTCACTCCCCAAACCCCCAGTATAAACATGGTGCTATCTGCAAGAAACGGTATGGTGCAAACAGTTGCTATTTAATTTGCTTACACCAAGCCCCACCCCTCTCACTTCAGAGGAGAGGCCCTTTCCGGTCATGCTTGCCTCAGCCCTAAATCCATGGGCCTCCACCCCAGGAAAGACTAGTGGAAACCCTACCAATACCCAGTCAATGGACCCATGTGTTTTATGGGACCTCAGTTCCTGTGGTGGTATGGCAGCAGGTTTCATTTCACAAGCAGAAATGAAACCCACCCACCTTGTTAAAATGTGCTGCACCTAGCCATAGACCAAACACTGCCCACAACAGACAAAGAGACCCTCTGCAGACAACCTTACTGAAGGAAAAAGAATCAAAGCATAGCCAACACATATAGGAGACACTTCTTGAAGCATGAGGTCTTGGGGAACAGGGAACTCTGCACTGTAGAGTACTAATGAAGTACTTCTTCATAAGGCCATTATTTTCAGTAGTAAGAGAAATAGCTGACTTTCCTAACCAGAGAAACAAACTCAGAGTTAGAAAAAATGAGGTGACAGAGGACTGTGCCCCAAATGAAAGAAAAATACCAAGCCACAGTAAGAAACTTAACCAAAACAGATGTAAATAATATACCTGATAGAGAATTTAAAGTGGTAATCATAAAGATACTCATTGGACTTGAGAAAAGAGTGGAGGATATCAGTGAGACTCTTAACAAAAAAAAATTTAAAAAAACCCAATCAGATAAAGAACACAATAAATGAAATTAAAAATATACCCAATACAATAAATAATAGGCTAGATAAAACAGAAGAAAGAATTAATAACCTGGAGGACAGAGTACTGGAGAGTAATCAAGCTGACAAATTGAGAGTAAAAATAATAATGCAAATTGAGAACAGTCTTAGGGAACTTAGTGTCTGCATCAAGCATGAAACATTTGCATTATAAGGATCCTAGAAGAAGAGAGAGAAAAGGGAGTAGAATTTCTGTTTGAAGAAATAATAGCTGAAAATAATCAATAGTAATACAATAACAGTGGGAGAATTTAACACCACACTTACACTGATGGACAGATCAAACAGCAATACAATGAGGAAATAGCGGCTTTGAATGACGCACTGGACCAGATGAATTTAACAGATATATGCAGAACATTCCATCCTAAAACAGCAGAATACACATTTTTTCAAGGGCACATGGGACAGTCTACAGAATACATCACTTAGTAGCCCACAAAAAGAGCCTCAACAAATTCAAGAAGATTGAAGTCATATCATGCATCTTTTTACCACAATACTATGAAACCAGAAGTCAGCCACAAGAAAAAAAATCTGGTGAGAGTATAAATACATGGAAATTAAATGACATGCTACTAAGCAATAAATGGGTCAACCAAGAAATCAAAGATATCAAAAAGCATATGGAAACAAATGAAAATGAAAACACAATAGTCCAAAATCTCTGGGATGCAGAAAAAAAGCAGTTCTAGGAGAGTTTACAGCAATGCAGGTCTACCTCAAGAAGCAAGAAAAATCTCAAATAAACAGCCTAACCCTGTACTAAAGGAGCTACAAAAAGAATAACAAACAAAACCCCAAACCAGCATAAGGAAGGAAATAATAAAGATTAGTGCAGAAATAAGTGATATAGAAACTAAAGAAATAGTAAAACATCAATAAATCAAGAGCTTGTTCTTTGAAAATATCAACAAAATTGATAAACTTTTAGCCATACTCATCCAAAAAAAGGGGGGGAGAGAAAGACACGCCCAAATCAGAAATGTAAAGGAAAACTTAAAAATGACATCACAGAAACACAAAGAATTGTAAGCAAATATTATGAAAAATTATATGCCAACAATTTGGACAACCTAGAAAGAATGGAAAAATTCCTAGAAATGTAAAACCTACCAAAACTGAAACATCTCTACAGCTACATTGTACCCTTTCAAAGCATTTAATTTTATTTTTGTATATATATATTTTTTCTTTTTTACAATTCTAGGATGTAGTCTCTTCTAACAAACAAAAATATACCCAGGATTTACTGTATTGTTCTGTTCATCTGTTTGTTTATATTCCTTCCTTTTTGTTTTAATTTTTACAATTATATTCTATCATTTCATTATATTTAACTTTATTTTTGTACATATATAAATTTTTCTTTCTTTACAATTTTAGGATCTAGTTTTCTAACAAACAGACCAAAATACACACAGGAACCAGTGTATCACTCTGTTCAATTCATTTGTCTGATTATATTCTCTTTTTTGTTTTAATTTTTCTTTTAATTTCAGGTCTCTTCTGATTTGTTTAATGTATATTTCTCTGGGGTCATTGTTACCATTTTAGTATTTTGTTCACTTGTTCATCTATTCTTCTCTGGAGAGAATGAGGAAAGAAAAACTCACCTCAAAAAATAGAACAAGAGGCAGTACTAACTGCCAGGGACGTAATCCGTATGGATGTAAGTAAGATATTGGAACTAGAGTTCAGAGAAATGATTGTAAAGATGCTAGCTAAGCTTGAAAAGAAGCACAGAAGACAGTAGAGAATCCCTTTCTGGGGAAATAAAAGAATTAAAATTTAATTAAGTCAAAATAAAATAGGCTATTAATGAGATGCAATCAAAAATAGAGTTTCTAACTGCTGGGATAAATGAGGCAGAAGAGAGAATTAGTGGTTCAGAAGACAAAATGATAGAGAATAAAGAAGCTGAGAAAAGGAGAGATAAACAACTACTCTATCATGAGGGAAGAATTCAAGAAATAAATGATACAATAAGGTGAAATAATATTAGAATAATTGGGATCCCAGAAGAGGAAAGAGAGAGGGGGGCAGGAGGTATATTGGAGCAAATTATAGTGGAGAACTTCCCTAATATGGGTAAGGAAACAGGCACATAAGTCCAGGAGGCACAGAGGACCCCAACCCCTTAAAATCAATAAAAATAGGTCAACACCTGGACATATAGTAGTGAAACTTGCAAAACTCAGAGACAAAGAGAAAATCCTGACAGCCTCTCAAGACAAGAGGTTCTTAACCTACAATAGTAGAAATGTTAGATTGATAGTAGACCTATTTATGGAAACCTGGCATGCCAGAAAAGACTGGTATGATATATTAAGGGTGCTAAATGAGAAAAATATGCAGCCAAGAATACTTTATCCAGCATGGCTCTTATTTAAAAGAGAAGAGATAAAAAAGCATTCAGGACAAAAGAAACTAAAAGAATTTGTGATTACTCAATCAGCCCTACAAGAAATATTAAAGGGGATCTTTAAGTGGAGAAAGAGCCTAAAAGTAATACAGACTAGAAAAGAACAGGGACAATATACAAAAACAGTGACTTTACAAGTAATACAATGGCACTAAATTCATATCTTTCAATAATTACTCTGAATGTAAATAGGCTAAATGTTCAAATCAAAAGATGCAGGTTTTCAGATTGGATGAAAAAGCAAGACTCATTGATATGCTGTCTGCAAGAGAATCATTTTAGACCCAAAGACACCTCCAGATTGAAAGTGAGGCATGGAGAACCATTTGGAATGCTAATGGACATCAAAAGAAAGCTGGGGTAGCAACCCTATACCACACAATTAGATTTTAAAGCAAAGCCTATAATTAGAGATGAAGAAGGACACTATATCATAAAGGGTATATCCAGCAAGAAGCTCTAACAATTGTAAATATTTGTACCCCTAACATGGGAGCGCCAGTTATATAAGCCAATTAATAACCAAATTAAAGAAACACATTGATAATAATATAATAATAGTGGGGAACTTTAACATCCCTCTGACTGCAATGGACAGATTACCCAAGCAGAAGATCAACAAGGAAACAACAGCTTTGAATAATACACTGGACTAGATGGACTCCACAGATATATTCAGAATATTCCATATTAAAGCAATAAAGTAAACATTCTTCTCAAGTGTACATGGAACATTCTCCAGAATAGATCATATACTGGGTCACAACTCAGGCCTCAACTGCTACCAAAAGATTGGGATTATTCCCTGCACATTTTCAGTATACAATTCTTTGAAACTTGGACTCAATCACAAGAGGAAATTTAGAAAGAACTCAAATATATGGAGGTTAAAGAGTATGCTACTAAAGAATGAATGGGTCAACCTGAAAAATTAAAGAAGAATTTTAAAAATTCATGGAAACAAATAAAAATGAAAACACAACTGTTTAATACCTTTGAAATGCAGCAAAGGTGGTCATAAGAGGGAAGTATATAGCAATCAAGCCTTTCTCAAGAAACAAGAAAGGTCTCAAGTACACAACCCAACCTTACACCTAAAGGAGCTGGAGAAAGAACATACTAAAGCCTAAGCCCAGCAGAAGAGAATTAACAAAGATTAGAGCAGAAATCAATGAAATAGAAACCAAAAGAACAGTAGAACAGATCAACAAGACTAAGACCCCAAATACCAAAGGAATGTTGAAAAAGAAACCTGAAGCTGGTGGCATCTCAATTCCAGACTTTGCATTCTGTTAGAAATCTATAATCATCAAGACAGTATGGTACTGGCACAAAAACAGAGACATAGATCAATGGAACAAAATAGAGAACCCAGAAGTGAACCCTCAACACTATGGTCAACTAATCTTTGACAAAGCAGGAAAGAATATTCAATGGAAAAAAAGACAGTCTCTTCAACAAATGGTGTTGGGAAAATTTGACAGCTACATGCAGAAGAATGAAACTGGACCATTTCCTCACACCATACACAAAAATAGACTCAAAATGGATGGCAAGCACAAATGTGAGATAGAAATGCATCAAAATACTAGAGGAGAACACAGGCAGCCAATTCTGTGACCTCAGCCTCAGTAACTTCTTGCTAAACATGTCTCCCAATGCAAGAGAAACAAGGAAAAATTAACTATTGGGACTTCATCAAGATAATAAGCTTTTGCATAGCAAAAGAAACAACTGACAAGACCAAAAGACAAACTATGGAGCGAGGAGAAGATATTATTCACAAATGCCTTATCAGTTAAAGGGCTAGTATCCAAAATCTATAAAGAACTTATCAAACTTAACACCCAAAGAACAAATAATCAAATCAAGAAATGGGCAGAAGACAGGAACAGACATTTCTGCAAAGGCGACATGCAAATGTTCAACAGATACATGAAAAAATACTCCACATCACTCAGCATCAGGGAAATACACATCAAATCCACAATAAGTCAGAAAGTGTTAGCTGTTGGAGAGGATACAGAGAAAGGGGAACCTCTTACATACTGGTGGGAATGCAAGCTTGTTTAGCCTCTCTGGAAAAGTATGGAGGTTCCTCAAAAAGTTGAAAATATAGCTACCCTCCCTATGAGCCAGCAATTTTACTACTGGGTATTTACCCCAAGGATAGAACTATAGTGATCTGACGGGGCACTCATATCCCAATATTTATAGCAGCAATCTCCACTATATCCAAACTATGGATTGAGTCCAGATGTCCTTCCACAGATGAAAGGATAAAGAAGATTATACACACACACACACACACACACACACACACACAATGGGATACTACTCAGACATTGAGAAAATGAAATCTTGCCATTTGCAATGATGTGTATGGAACCAGAGGATATTATGCTATGTGAAATAAGAATCAGAAAAAGACAATTATATGATCTCACTCATTTATGGAATTTAACAAACAAAACAGAGGATCATAGGGAAAGGAAATTAAAACCAGATGAAAGCAAAGAGGGAGACAAACCATAAGAGACTCTTAATCGCAGGAAACAAACTAATGGTTGCTGGAAGGGAGGAGAGTGGGGGATCAGATACTGGGTGAAAGACATGAAGGAGGGCATGTGATGTAATTAGCACTGGGTATTATATAAGACTGATGAATCACTGACCTCTACCTCTGAAACAAATAACACATTGTATATAATTAACAGAATTAAAATTTAAGAAAATTTAAAAATTGAAACACAAGAAACAACAAGTGTTTGTGAAGATGTGGAGAAAATCTTCTTGCACTCTTGAGCATCGAAACTGGTGCAGCCACTGTGGAAATCAGTGTGGAGATTCCTCACAAAGCTAAAAATAGAACTATTCTGTGATCCAATAATTATACTACTTGGGTGTTTACCCCCAAATTACAAAAACATTAATTCAAAAAAATACATGCCTTTCTAGGTTTACAACAGCATTATTCACAATAACCAAATTATGGAGGCAGCCCAGGTGTCCATCAATTGAACGGATAAAGAATAAGTGGTATATATGACAATGGAATGTTGTTCAGCCACAAAAAAAAGAATGAAATCTTGCTGTTTACAATAATATGGATGAAGCTAGAGAGTATAATTTATGCTAAGCAAAATATATCAATCTTAGAAAGAAAAATACCACATGATTTCACTCATATGTGGAATTTAAGAAACAAAACTAACAGAGGGGGAACAAAAGAGAGAGGCACACACAAACCAAGAAATAGACTCTTAACTATAGAGAACAAACTGATAGTTAACCAGAGGGGAGGTAGTTGGGGGGATGGATATTAAAGAGTACGCTTATCATGATGAGCACTGAGTAATATATAGAATTAAGTCACTATATTTTACACCCGAAACTAACATAACTCTGTATGTTAACATTACTGAAAAAAATACACAATTAAATAATAAAAATGAACCCCAGAAAAAAGCACACCCATTACATTTTCCAAATAACTCTGCACACTGTTTATCTGTATCTCGGCATTTTCCCTCATAGCAATAAGCAGTGTTATTATTGCATGGTTCTAAATCAGCAGATTGCACATCAGGTACGCAATACTCATGTATTCCATCACAAAATTCTGGAAAATCACAGGGATCTTTACTTTCCCGACATACAGTTCCTTTGGTGGATATCTGTGAGACAAAGAAAAACAATTATTTTTGTAAAGTAGTAAACCAAAAATGTAAAAAAACTTAAACAAGAATAATAGATTTCTGTCATTTCCATTATTATTACATTTTTAACTACTTAAGTTATGAATTTACTTAAAAGCTCAATTGAAATAGATTGGAAAAAACCCAAATGTCCACCAATGGATGAATAGATGAACAAATTGTGGTATATTCATATAGTGGAAGATTTTCAGCCATATAAAGGAGCACTGATACATATGCTACAAAGTTGTTGAATCTTCTACACTATGTTAAGAAAGCCAGACACAAAAGGTCACATATTCTATGCTTCTACTTATATGAAATATCCAAAATATGTTACTCCAGATAGAACACAAATTGGTGGTTGCCAGGGACTGAGGGGGAGGGAGAAAGGAGAACAAGTGCTTAATGGGCTGGGAGTCTCCTGTTTGCATGAGGAACATGTTTTGGAACTAGGTAGAGGTGGCAGTTGCACAGCATTGTAAATGTACTGAATGCCCCTAAATTGTTCATCTGAAAATGGCAAACGTTATGGTACGGGATCTTCACCTTAATTTTTTTAAAGGCTCTACCAAATGTAGGAATTATCCCCATGTGTAAGGGAAAGGGCAAAGGACTGTGTAGAAAAGCCTTATTGTTCAATTCCACTGATTTGGAGACCAAGGCCAAGATGAGAGCTCTGGTGAAGGAAAGAACGTTTATTGTTAGGTAGTAGAAACTCTAGGCTTGCCTCTTTATTCATGCTCCTTGAAGACAAGTGACCACTGGCTTTAATTACTAGCACATGGAGTGAAAAGGAACACACACAGAACAAAATAGAATGACGTTTGGAGAGATTTCATTTACAGGGGAATATAAGGGAAGGGAGAAGAAATGTGTGGGAAATATCAGAAAGGGAGACAGAACATAAAGACTTCTAACTCTGGAAAATGAACTAGGGGTGGTGGAAGGGGAGGAGGGCGGGGGGTGGGGGTGAATGGGTGACGGGCACGGAGGGGGACACTTGACGGGATGAACACTGGGTGTTATTCTGTATGTTGGTAAATTGAACACCAATAAAAATTAATTTAGTAAAAAAAAAAACAACCCACATAAAAAAAAAAGAAAACCTGCCAATCAAGATCTCTAATGAATCAGCTTCTTTGACAGTTGTTGATGCCTGAAAGTGACACAAAGGTGGCAAGATGCTACAATGAAGTAATCCTCAAAACACAAGTCTTACTCGTCTCCTTTTAGGTGTGGCGATAAAGGAAAATTGAATGGAAAACTTGCCAAGGGAAGCCAATGATTCAATCCACTTCTGGGACCAGGAGTCCTTGCATAGAACTTCAGTATTAGACATGCTACACCTTGCTGACTATACTACATGGACTCTTTTTTCTGCTATTCTCAAAATGTTTATTCAAACATTTTATGTCAACCATGCGCTGGGTGGCTTATTTGTAATTTTGTTGTGAATTGTTGGGTCATGAAAGCTACATTCAGATATGAACTCAGGTATGACCAAGAGGAATCCATCATGCCCAAATAATCTGGAATTGGTGTTGGATAACCTGAGGGATCTTGAGTAGAGACTGAAACAATACACTGAAGGCAAAGATAAGAAGGAGGTTGAGAAAGATCTAATGACATCTGAATTCTGAATTCAACTGTGTATGAATCAAGTATTTTAAGCTACATATTTGAAAGTTGTGTAAAAAAAAGCAAGAAAAAAATAAGTGAATGCACAAGAACAGAAAAAAAAATCACAAAAGAAAATACTGCAATAATTTGAAAGCTTACCTGACAAGTATCTTTATTACAGCATGGTCCAGTGCCACACTCTGCAAATTCAAGCAGAGTACAATCTTCAGGATTACAGCATTTTTCATATTTTTTGCACTGCTAAAAGTAAATATACAATAGGAATTTTCAATCAAAGAAATAATTTTATTTATTGTCAAAATATACTATAATCTCTTAGTTAATTACAACCATAGTATGATTTTTACTTCTGTATTTATTATTTTTTTTCTTTTTTAAGATTTTATTTATTCATTCATGAGAGAGAGAGAGAAAGGGAGAGAGAGAGAAAAAAAAAAGAGAGAGAGAGAGGCAGAGACACAGGCAGAGGGAGAAGCAGGCTCCATGCAGGGAGCCCGATGTGGGACTCGATCCTGGGTCTCCAGGATCAGGCCCTGGGCTCGAAGGCAGCATTAAACCGCTGAGCCACTGGAGTTGCCCTCTGTGTTTATTCTTAACACCACTTTATTTAAAACTAATATATTTCCAGTATAGGAAAAAAAAGATAGTAATGAAATTATAATTCCATGCTTAAGAAACTCAACTGTTAAAATTTTAATAGAATTTCTGTCAATCTTCTTTGTGTTCATAAATATATGCACTATAATTTAAAAATATTTTTTTAATATTTATTTAATATTTATTATGTCATAAGTACTTTTTCATCTTATCAATTCTCCTCACGGTATCATTTTGATAATATATTTATGAATGTGACAAAATAGAGGTTTCTAAATTATATTTTATTATTTAAAGGATGTGTCTATGAAAATTTTATTATTTTTAGCTCTAAGATATTATATTAAAGATTAATTCTAGAAGTTACTAAGACACAGTCCAAAAATATTAGACTATAACATACTATTATTTCCTTATTTCTATATACCTATCTGTTCAGTGAAAGAGTGATTTTTCACAAAACTGATAGTAATATTTAAAAATTAGCAAAGCGATAGGCAAAAATAACTAAGTGCTACAAGCGATAGGCAAAAATAACTACATCTGTTTCGATTTTATTATTTTCATTACCAATGTGCTATAAATTTTACAAAAATGCACGTTCTCATTTATTTTATTTTTTATGCATATATTTTATTGTGCTCTGTTTATTCCCTTTATTTGTAAGCACTTTTATATGAATTATTTTAACCGTTGGCCACTAATATATCTTAACTATGTTTCACAATTTGTCATTGACAACTTTTGTTTTGGTGTATTTTGGGTTTGTTTGTTTTGGTAACTGTTAGATTTGTGAGATTGTGAAATGGTACACTCATGCTGTCCGAGAACTATCATCTTTTTTTGTGGTTTGTTCTTGAGTTTATGGATAAAACTTTCTTCCACTCTATATCCAGTAAATATGTGAGTCTTAGTGTGTGTGTGTGCAAAATATTTGTGTTATATATACTATGTATTTATTTATTTTTATATTGAATGGTTTGAGTAGTGTGTTGTGAAAGAAGCTATAATGATGTATCTTTTTCCCAAAACAGAAGTTAAATTTATCAATTGCTTTTATAGGATAATTTATTCCTGATCTTTTGTAATACCTGGACTGTCATATAACATCCTCTATAAAATTAGATATGTCAGTGTCTTCAATTATACCAACTGTATATCAAAGTATATTTTAAAATGTTATCATATAACATGTTTTAATATTTGCAGGAGTCAGATATTTTTCCATTTTTATGTTTCATTATTAAAAGAATGTATTATGCTTTATAATATAAAGATTTTAATAAAAATTATCAAGAGTATTTCATGAAGACAGAAGATTGAACACACACTAAATATTACGGGGGAAAAAACAAAAATCAATGACACAAAAGAGAAAGCCTCCAAAGGCTAGAATCAAAGAGAGCCTATAAGAAAGGGGATCTTATGACAATATTCAATGTATAATGGAAAGCTACACTAAATGCTGGGCTTAGAAATTGATGTTCAATGCATTGTGGTTTAAAAATGGAACCCCACAATGGGCCTGAAAGTGAGAATATTTATTATTTATTTATTTATTTATTTATTTATTTATTTATTTTAAAGATTTTATTTATTTATTCATGAGAGACACAAGCAGGGGGAGAAGCAGGCTCCCTGCAGGGAGCTTGATGTGGGACTCAATCCCAGAACCCCAGAATCAGGCCCTGAGCCAAAGGCAAATGCTCAAATACTGAGCCACTCAGGCATCCCTAGATGTGAGAACATTAAAAAACAAGTAACGGTGGAATGCTATTGAAAAATTAGAGAAATAAAAAGGGTATAGATGTCCAAACTTTATCAAATGTCACTTCAATATTTAATATCATAAGTTTTATCTTTATCAATTTTGATATATGTTGAAAAGTACCAAAATGTTTCTTTATTTCTTAAACTCAAATTATATTATTTTTTTCATATATTCACTGGGATTATTTGATAATTTTAATTTAGACATTTTGCGGGTATTTTCCACAATATGGATCAATCATTCAAAGTAAGTTTAAGCTGGTGATCACAGGAATCAACAACTTTCACATTTTAATTCTATTTCTATATGCCTGCAAAGGACACTTTAAGTGGATATTTTTAAAAGGTGCAAAATTTACAGTAACAGGCAGGAACATGAAATATTTAGGTTTTGAATTTAATTAGAAACATCTAAAAAATGGAATAATATACCATGTTCATAGTTTGAAAATCACATTGTGAATACATCACTTCCCCAAAAAATCATGTATGGATTCAAAAAAGTCTCAATCAAAATTCCAGCAAAGTTTTTAATTATTTTTTATTTTTTAGGGAATGTGGGTAGAAATAGAAAAATTGATTCCAAATTTTACACAGCAAAAATCTAAGATCACCAAACCTATCTTCAGAAAAAAGTAAATATGAAGACACAATTTACCTAATTTTGTGAATCAGGGTAAGAAGGGCTGGTATTGGTGTAAAGATAGATATATGGATCAATAAAACACAAACTATGCGATGAACTGTTTTTCGATAAGAGTAGCATAGTAATTCAGTGGAAAAATGATAATTTTCCAATAAATGGGGCTAAAGAAATTAGATATACATATAGAAAAATATATTCCCTAATTCAAACTACAAAAATTACTGAAAATGGATTATAGGTAAACACATAAAAGCTAATATCAATAAACTTCTAGAATACTTATTAGAAAGTTTCACAACTTTGGGATTGATAGGACACAAAATACAAAGCCATGACACATATTTGCATATGGCTAATACTAAGAATTCCAATAACTACATAAACAACACCCTCAAAATATGTAAAATATGTGAACATTCAAAAAGGAGACATAGACATATGGATGTCTCATAACCACATGAAACACTGTCCAGTATGATTAGTCATCAGGGAAACGTGAATAAAAACTGCAGTAAAATACCAGCAGACATTGAAATGACTAACATGTAAGGGACTGGCAGTAGCAAAAGTTGGTAAGAATAAGGAACAATTAACTGCCACTCTCATACATAGATTATTGGAATGTAAAATATTACAAGGATTTTAAAATGCAGATTGATGCTTTGTTACACATTTAATAGTGCAATTAACATATGACCCAGCAATTCTATTCCTAGAAATTTATCCAATATACATAAAAACTTAAGTACAAAAAAAACATGTTATTTTTTTTTAAGATTTTATTTATTTATTCATGAGAGACACAGAAATAGGCAGAGACATAGGCAGTGAGAGAAGCAGGCTTCCTGTGGGGATCCGAATGTGGGACTCAATCCCAGGACCCCAGGATCATGACCTGTGCAGATGCTCAACCACTGAGCACCCAGATGGCCCATAAATGTTCTTTAGAACATTCTAAAATCCAAAACTTAAGTTCAAAGAAGACATGAATGTGCTTTAGAAGCATTTTTCATAATACTCAAAACCAAAAACAACCTAAATGTTCACTAATAAATCCATGAATAAATAAACTGTTATAGTCATACAAAGAAATACTACTCCACAATAAATACCAATGAACTACAGATGTGTTCAATCATGCAGTTGAATATCAAAAATATAAGCAAAAAAATCTAGAGTCAGAAAGGATCCATCATCTATAATTCATTCACGTGAAATTCAGTAGTGGGCAAAAATAATGTGTTGTGACAGGATGACAGGATTAGAAGTTTCAGATATTAATGGGATTAATTTAGACTCCTCCAATCAATGGAATTAAGGTAGAACTGCCTGTGATAATGTAAAAGTCCTAATATTTCTTTTATCCACATCTAATTAAGTATAACATAAGTCAAATTAAAAAAAAAAAAACAAAACTCAGCAAGCCAGAAGGAAAACAATACATACTTACATATACACAAGCACACTACCTAGATAGATCCTAAATCTTTGTGCTGAAACAAAAAACAAAGTCACAATGCCTATAAAGACAGATGGATTCTATGATCATCCAGCCAGGTGTGGAGCTAACTTGGTTTCTGAAGTTTTCAGTGATAATGAGGACAAATGGTTTTTGATCATCATTGCCGAGATTCCTGATGAGTTCCATTAGTGAGGCTGGTGGTCTTTGTAATATTAAGGAAAGCTTATTGTGGTTATTGGTCACTCACCTACACTATCAAGAAAATAAAAGTACTTTCCTTCTGCTGATAGCCATAACAATAGATAGAAAAATCCCTGTTAATAAGAACTGTTGGTTACTCTAAAATTCACTGAGATGGGGGTATTTGACGGGATCAGCACTGGGTGTTATACTATATGTTGACATATTGAACTCCAATAAAAAATATACAAAAAATTCAAAAAAATAAAATACACTGAGAATTCTCAATGCATGAGAAAGAGAAGAAACTAGAGATATATTTAGGAAAAGCCGAATGAAATTCTAAAAATTAGCTCATCTAACATATTAGGGGGAATCAGTGCAAATTTTTCTGGATTTGAGGGTACGGAGTCACTTGGTCACTTAAGAACCAACTTCATGCTCTAAGCATCATTTATTAAGAACCAACTTCATGCTCTAAGCATCATTTATCAGTGACCACTCTGGTTAATTATATAAACATGGAAGAAGAGAATGTAAAGACTTACTGCAGCTTATTGCAGTAGGTCTTGTTAAAAGATAAACTAAGTAAAAATCAATTCAAATTGGGCAGCATCCATTCTAGTAAAAGAAAGATCTAAGGAGTTACACAAAATGAAAGACAGAAGGGAGGAGGAATAAGGAAGTAATAAAGGCAAAAAACTATGTTTGCTATTGCAAAGTAACATTCCTTTAGGAGGTTGCAGGGGTCTATCAGGCAATAACTATTACTGATAAGGTAATTGACTGGTTTAAGATTCTATTTCTGGGAGAGTTAAAACCAATTAAGCCTAAAAAAACAACAACAACAACAACAATTAAGCCTTGGTTTGATAACATGGGGCTTAGCCCAAGTGACTCCACTATGGGCCTGTTGTCTTGTTTTTAACAATCTTTACATCTATAATTAGCAGTGTCCTATCCGAGATAAATTCCCATGTTCCAATAGATGCCCTTGAAATCCAGTGGGACAAGCTACCATTTCCCTTTGGTCCACTGTGACTCTATTCCAGGTTTTAATAAAGACTAAAAGTGCCCCGATAAAATAGGCATGTAAATCAGATCAATCAGTTCATATAAACAGTGCAAACTGGCTATCAGAAGCAAAGAATCTTCTCTTGTGTTCCAAGAATAATCTCTGAAAAAAACTATTCATGAACTGAGCAATTAAGTATTCCAAATAAACACTTTTTTTTTTTTGCCATAAATCTATTACTGATGTAGGATTGAGTTACCGGGCAGACAGGACTTGTCAGGGAAAGATAAGGGAAAGGCCCAGAGTCAGGATCCTACCCATCCCAAGAAAACTGAGATAAGACAGTAAAAGCAAACAAACAAAAAATAAACCTGGCTCCCTAGCTCCAAAATATTAGGGAGTATCCTCCTTTAATGGCTACTAAGTAATCACAGAAATACCAGATGTAGAGAAATGTTATGGAGGAGATATTAACCAGAGAGAAGGGAACACCTTGTCTGTGCTCAGGATATTTACAAAAAACATCTTGTTTGTTTCAAGTCCACCATGTTTGTTCTAAATATTCACCCTGAAATGGACAAGAAATGTACCAGGTTCCCTGGTCAGTTTCCTATAAAAGATGGACTGTAAAAGCCCTCAGTGGCAACCCTGTCGGGACACCTCTCACTTTTGGGAGCTTCTCTGTATCTCTGCTTATTAAGCCTGTATCTCTATTGTCCATGAGATTCATTCTTTGATTCCATGAGCCAAGAACCAAGCTCTCCTGTATCATTACTATATTTTTAAAAAATCAACTATTTTTTTAAAAGAAATAGATTGAAATTTTGCAGCAAGTAACACATTCTGAAAATGTATGTTTGAGCTTATTAAACATTAGAACTAACCTGGCTATTGTTTTTTATGCCTTCTGTGTATTTTTGTTCTTGTATTAGGTTTTATTACTTGATAAATTTTTTCTTGGTCCTCAGATGTGGTACACATTTGTAGCTTCTGTAATGATTGGTTAAAGTAAGAACCATCTATGCTCTTAAGGTATTTCAAAGTTGTAAAATGACACATGTGAGGAAAAAAATAAACAAGCACTGTCTGGGGCTGGAGGAACTCATGAATAGAGGCTTGCATTATACCACTGAAATAATGAATTGAAAACCATTGTTCCCAGAGTGAATAACAAATTAACAATAATTAAAATTTTTTTCCACTAATTGCCTTCAGCATATAGAAATGAGTATAGCTACTACTTTATATACCATTGTGGGAAGTTGACCAAATTTAATTTCATCAGGCAATGCTTAGAGCATAGTTTTACTGTTCTGGACTTCCACAGTGATGGGTCTTGTCTGGATTATACTAATTCTTATAAAACGTGACATACTGTTAAGTGTATAGATATTCTATCACAATCATAATGTTTTTATAATGGCCTGCACTGAACCAGTGTAGTCACTTTGAAGGAATTCAGGAGATGACTGAGGTGATGGTTATAATATTGGCTTTAACCATGTTTATGATACAGAAAAGTGGGTATTGCTACTAATGATTACACATTGAAGAAAATCTACCTCTTTAGTCCATGCTATGCTTACCCCTTACTTAAATTCTTCAAATGTTTTAAATTCAGGATGAATCAGTTATCACATGCCCCACTGTGCAGTATTTGGGGAAAAAAAGTCCATTTTATATCACATCTATATTTATAAGGCTACAGAAGAAACACAAAGAAAAATCTTTAGATAAGCTATTATGTTTGTCACTAACCTCTTGACTACCACAATCACATTGTTCTGAGTTTTCCAAAATTCCATTGCCACAGAGTGAACTTGCTGTGTGGTAACCCACATTTGAAATGGTTTGATTCTGAAGACATTCAAATTCAGGCTGTGAAGCCATACGTTTAAATTCATCCATGCTGCAACTGCTAAAAAACTTTACACCATGGGAACGTCTAAAAAAAATTATATTCTTCAGATAAATGGAATACAATCAGTTTCAAAGAAACGCCCTTCAGTAGAGTACTATGAATTCTGTACACTTCACTTATAGAAGAGCCAAGGAGAGGATGCTTTTCTCCCCTTACATTTTTGATTAAATTCCAGTTAGTTAACATATAGTGTAATATTAGTTTCATGTGCTTTTTTCCCCTAATGCAAGTCATAAATAAAAGCAATAAATCCATCTATAATTCCATAATATGGAGGAAGTTAAAATGACACGAGTTAGAATACATTAAAACTCTTAACAGTGCTTCACACACAAAAAGCTCTTTTAGGTATATCATTATTTTCATTATTATTGTCAATATAATTATCATTATAACAAGAAGCAATAATTACAAGAAAATGAAATATTAGGAAATTTATGTAAACTGAAGGAATAAAAGATGGCTAATTATGCTAATGAAAAGTCAGGGTTATTCTTTTGTATCAAAATCAATTAACCTGTATCAACATTGAGTATATAAAATCTGTAAGTCCTAAATTCTTTTTTATTTTATTTTATATTTGTACATTTTTAAGTGCACTGCTTAATGGGCTTTTAATTTTGCAGCAATCTAAATCTTAGATAAATGATACAATATAGTTCAAAGAATAAATTTTATTTACTGAAAGTTAAGAATAATTGTCAAAAACAATCTTAATAATTTTAAGTATTTTAATGTATAATTCTTACATAGAAATGAATTTTCCTTAAGCAGGCCCTTAAAAATAAAGAAATACTGATGCTTTACTAATATCTAATTCTCAGATGCCATTCAAATTTACCTTTCATTACAATATTGGCACTTTATCGCAAGAGGATTCAGTTCAGAATCAACCATTTAGTTCTCAATATCTAGGTTTGTTTTTAAGTTTAGTTATCTACATTTCTTATCGAATTTCAGAACCCTGAAAAAAGTTTTATGGTTACAGGGTGATTATTTGCTAAAGTAATCCTTTTCTGCAATTTAGGACTATAAAATGTTCTCTCATAACTACACTGAGGTTATGAATCTTGTCAACATTATTACAAAAGTGTTGCTGAGTCTGTTTTCATTGCATATTAACAAATGGCTCACAATTTTCATTTTGAACCATGCTTTCTGATTGTATTTCCTTATTTTTCTTTCTGATAGTTCATTATTAGCGTATAGAAATGCAACATTTCTTTACACTGTTTTTATATCCTGTAACTTTACTGAATTGATTTATTCTGATTTTTTGTTGTTGGTCCTTAGTGTTCTCTGTATACAGTATCAGGTCATCTGCAAATAGTGAGAATATTCCTTTTCCAATTTGAATGCCTTTGTTTCTTTTCTTTTTCTTTTTCTTCTTCTTCTTTTTTTTTCTGATTGCTGTGGCTAGGATTTCCAATACTATATTCAAAAAAAGTGACAAGAGTGGGCATTTTAGAGGAAAAGCTTTCAGCTTTTCACCACTGAGTATGATGTTAGCTGTGGGTTTGTCTTATAAAGACCATATATGCTATGCTCACTTTGTTTACAACTTCAGCTATCATAAATGTTGAATTTTATCAAATGCTTTTTCTGCACTAATGTGATGGTCATATGATTTTTAGCCTTCTTTGTGTTAATGGGGTGTATCACGCTAATTTATGGATATTCAACCATCCTTTCATCCTAGTTAATCTGAGTGTATGATATTTTAATGTATTATTGCATTTGTTTCCTGATATTTTGTTGAGAATTTTTGAATCTATGTTCATCAGGGCTTTTGGCTTGTAATATTTTTTGGGAGCTCAGTGCCTTTATTTGGTTTTGGAATTAGGGTAATGCTGGACTCCTAGAATAAGTTTGGAAGCGTTCTTTCCTCATTAATTTTTTGTAATATTTTAAGAAGTACAGGTATTAACATTTCTTTAAATGTTTGCTAACACTCACCAGATGATGATACCATCTAGTACTGTACTTAGGATGTTTTTCTTGTTTTTGTTTGTTTTACTAATTCGATTTCATTACTAGTGATAAATCTGTTCAATTTTTCTCTTTCTTCTCGATTCAGTTTTGTAAGACTATTATTTGAAAGAATTTACCCATTTATTCTAGGTTGTCCAATTCATTGGCATATAATTGTTTGCAGTTTCCTACAATTCTTTAAATTTCTGTATCAGTTGTAACTTCTCTTTCATTTCTGGTTTTATTGCAGCGTTCTTTTTTTTTGAAAAGTCTGGCTAAAAGCATATCAATTTTGTTATTTCAAATAATCTGCTCTTTGTTTCCTTTATCTTTTCTATTGTTTTTTAAGTATATATTTCATTTATTTCTACTCCTCTTTATTATTTACTTCTTTCTACTAACTTTAAACTTGATTAATTTGTAATTGATTTATAGTTTCATATTGTTGTGGTTGGAAAAGATGCTTGATATAATTTAACTTCTTAAATTTATTAAGACTTGTTTTGTGACCTAACATAATCTATCCTGGAGAATGTTCCCAAATGTACTTGAAAAGAATGTGTACTCTGCCAGTTTTGGATGGAAAACTCTATATATCTATTAAGTTCATCTGGTTAATATGTTATTTAAGGTCAATAGTTCTTTATTGATTTTCTGTCTAGATGATCTATCTATTGACATTTGCAGGGTGTTAATGTTTCCTACTATTACTGTATTACTGTCAACTTCTCCCTTTGTGTCTGATAATATTTACTTCATGTATTTAGGTTCCCCTATGCTAAATGCATAGATATTTATAAGTGTTACATCATCTTGTTGGATTGGTCCCTTTACCATCATGTAATGACCTTTTTCTTTTTTATCTGCTACGGTTTTTGTTTTAAAGTCCATTTTGTCTGATAGAAGTATTGCTACCTCAACTGTCTTTTCTTTTCTTTCTTTTTTTTTATAAATTAATTTTTATTGGTGTTCAATTTACCAACATACAGAATAACACCCAGTGCTCATCCCGTCAAGTGTCCCCCTCTGTGCCCATCACCCATTCACCCCCACCCCCCGCCCTCCTCCCCTTCCACCACCCCTAGTTCATTTCCCAGAGTTAGAAGTCTTTATGTTCTGTGTCCCTTTCTGATATCTCCCACACATTTCTTCTCCCTTCCCTTATATTCCCCTTCACTATTATTCATATTCCCCAAATGAATGAGAACATACACTGTTTGTCCTTCTCCGATTGACTTACTTCACTCAGCATAATACCCTCCAGTTCCATCCACGTTGAAGCAAATGGTGGGTATTTGTCGTTTCTAATGGCTGAGTAATATTCCATTGTATACATAAACCACATCTTCTTTATCCATTCATCTTTCGATGGGCACCGAGGCTCCTTCCACAGTTTGGCTATTGTGGACATGGCTGCTAGAAACATCGGGGTGCAGGTGTCCCAGCGTTTCATTGCATCTGAATCTTTGGGGTAAATCCCTAACAGTGCAATTGCTGGGTCGTAGGGCAGGTCTATTTTTAATTCTTTGAGGAACCTCCACACAGTTTTCCAGAGTGGCTGCACCAGTTCACATTCCCACCAACAGTGTAAGAGGGTTCCCTTTTCTCCGCATCCTCTCCAACATTTGTTGTTTCCTGCCTTGTTAATTTTCCCCATTCTCACTGGTGTGAGGTGGTATCTCATTGTGGTTTTGATTTGTATTTCCCTGATGGCAAGTGATGCAGAGCATTTTCTCATGTGCATGTTGGCCATGTCTATGTCTTCCTCTGTGAGATTTCTCTTCATGTCTTTTGCCCATTTCATGATTGGATTGTTTGTTTCTTTGGTGTTGAGTTTAAGAAGTTCTTTATAGATTTTGGAAACTAGCCCTTTATCTGATATGTTATTTGCAAATATCTTCTCCCATTCTGTAGGTTGTCTTTGAGTTTTGTTGACTGTATCCTTTGCTGTGCAAAAGCTTCTTATCTTGATGAAGTCCCAATAGTTCATTTTTGCTTTTGTTTCTTTTGCTTTCGTGGATGTATCTTGCAAGAAGTTACTGTGGCCAAGTTCAGGGTGTTGCCTGTGTTCTCCTCTAGGATTTTGATGGAGTCTTGTCTCACATTTAAATCTTTCATCCATTTTGAGTTTATCTTTGTGTATGGTGCAAGAGAGTGGTCTAGTTTCATTCTTTTGCATGTGGATGACCAATTTTCCCAGCACCATTTATTGAAGAGACTGTCTTTCTTCCAGTGGATCGTCTTTCCTCCTTTGTCGAATATTAGTTGACCATAAAGTTCAGGGTCCATTCGTAAAACAATCAATGTGATTCATCATATCAGCAAGAGAAAAACCAAGAACCATATGATCCTCTCATTAGATGCAGAGAAAGCATTTGACAAAATACAGCATCCATTCCTGATCAAAACTCTTCAGAGTGTAGGGATAGAGGGAACTTTCCTCGATATCTTAAAAGCCATCTACGAAAAGCCCACAGCAAATATCATTCTCAATGGGGAAGCACTGGGAGCCTTTCCCCTAAGATCAGGAACCAGACAGGGATGTCCACTCTCACCACTGCTATTCAACATAGTATTGGAAGTCCTAGCCTCAGCAATCAGACAACAAAAAGACATTAAAGGCATTCAAATTGGCAAAGAAGAAGTCAAACTCTCCCTCTTCGCCGATGACATGATACTCTACATAGAAAACCCAAAAGCCTCCACCCCAAGATTGCTAGTACTCATACAGCAATTTGGTAGCGTGGCAGGATACAAAATCAATGCCCAGAAATCAATGGCATTCCTATACACTAACAATGAGACTGAAGAAAGAGAAATTAAGGAGTCAATCCCATTTACAATTGCACCCAAAAGCATAAGATACCTAGGAATAAACCTAACCAAAGAGGTAAAGGATCTATACCCTAAAAACTATAGAACACTTCTGAAAGAAATTGAGGAAGACACAAAGAGATGGAAAAATATTCCATGCTCATGGATTGGCAGAATTAATATTGTGAAAATGTCAATGTTACCCAGGGCAATTTACATGTTCAATGCAATCCCTATCAAAATACCATGGACTTTCTTCAGAGACTTAGAACAAATTATTTTAAGATTTGTGTGGAATCAGAAAAGACCCCGAATAGCCAGGGGAATTTTAAAAAAGAAAACCATAGCTGGGGGCATCACAATGCCAGATTTCAGGTTGTACTACAAAGCTGTGGTCATCAAGACAGTGTGGTACTGGCACAAAAACAGACACATAGACCAATGGAACAGAATAGAGAATCAACTGTCTTTTCATTTTTATCTGCATGAGATATCCTTGTCCATCCCTTCATTTTCACTCTGTGTATCTTTAGATCTTACGTTAGTTTATTACAGGTAGCTTTTATATAGGTCTGGTTTTTATTTGTCCATTTAAACACTCTATGTCTTTTGATTGGAGAATTCAGTCCATTTATATATTTAAGATATGTACTTACTACCATTCTATTTATTGTTTTATGTTTTTGTAGTTCTGTTTCCTTCTTCTCTTGCTGTCTTCTGTTGGTATTTGGTGACTTCTCTTGGTGTTATATTTATGTTCCTTTCTCTTTTTTGGTTTGTAACTATTATTGGTATTTGTTTTGTGTTTACCACGAGAATCATATGTGACAACCTAAGTACATTGCAGCCTATTTTAAGTTGATGGTTGCTTAAGTTTAAATGTGTTCCAAAAGTGCTACATTTATATTCCCCCTACCTTTTTTTTATTTATGATAGTCACAGAGAGAGAGAGAGAGAGGCAGAGACACAGGCAGAGGGAGAAGCAGGCTCCATGCACCGGGAGCCCGACGTGGGATTCGATCCTGGGTCTCCAGGATCGTGCCCCGGGCCAAAGGCAGGCGCCAAACTGCTGCGCCACCCGGGGATCCCTACATTTTATTTTTGATATCTTATTTTGTGTATACCTTGACTAATTATTACAGGTAAATGACTTTTGTCTTTTAACATTCATACTATTGTTACATAGGCGATTGACCTGCTGCCCTTACCCTATATTTACCTTTACCAGTGAGATTCTTTTCATTCATAATTTTCTTATTTCTAGTTGCAGCCTCTTCTTTTCCATTGAAAGAATTCTCTTAACATCTCTTGTGAGATTTGTTTGGTGTTGATGAACTTCCTTAGCTTTGTTTGTCTGAGAAACTTCATCTATCCTTCAATTCTGAGTGATAACCTTGATGTGTACCATTTTTTTAAATATTCCTTTCATCAATTTGAATATATCCTGCCACTCCCTTCTGATCTGTAAATTTTTGTTGAAAAACTAGCTATGAGGATTCCCTTATACATGACTACTCATTTTTCTCTGTTTTTAAGATTCTTTAAATGTTGACACTTTGATTTTAATGTGTCTTTGCTCTCTTTGGATCAATCTTATTTGAGACTTTGTGCTTCCTGGACTTGGACATCTATTTCCTTCCCCAGATTAGGTAAGTTCTCAGACATTATTTCTCGAAATATGCTTTCTGATCCTTTCTCTTGCTCTTCTCCTTCTGGAGCATCTATAATATGAATGCTAGTGTGGTTGATGTTACCTAGAAGTCCCTTAAAATAACCTCAATTTTAAAAATTTCTTTTTTCTTTTTACTTCTCTGAGTGCTTTCCACTATCCAGGCTTCCAGATTGCTTGTCCATTCTTCTGCATCATCTAATCTGCTATTGATTACCTTAGTGTGTTTATTTCATTTATTGTATTCTTCAGCTTGATTGGTTATTTTTTATATTTTCTATGTCTTTGTTCTCACTGTGATCACCCATTCTTCTTCTGGTTTGGTGACCACCTTTATGACTATTACTTTGAACTCTATCTAGTAGATTGGCTATCTCCATTTCACTCTTTTTCTCAGGTTTTGTCTTGTTCTTTCATTTGCAATCTCTGGTGCCTAATTTGCCTCTATGTACTAGATAGTTATGTCTTGAAGGAGGCTTTTTAAGCAGAAGGTGGTCCTGTGAGACCTAGTAATGCAAACCCACTTGGACACCAAAGCCAGGTGCCCTAGGACTGCCCTCTCTATGGGCTGTGTGCATTATCCTGTTCTGGCTAGGCCATGACTGGTGTGGATTTTGGTGAGTGGAGCTCCTTCTCAGTGCATCTGTATGTGAGGTGCAGCCACAACTGCTAAAGGCACACTGGTGATTAGGGCTGGCTCTTGGCCCATCTGAGAGTCCTGGCCATGACAGACTAGGGTGCATACCAGGGTGGCAAGGCCCTGTATCACAAATTTGAAAGTTGCTAAGAGACTAGATCTTAAAAGTTCTCATCACAAGAAAAAAAAGACATATGTTATTCTTTATGATCACAAATTTTTTTTTAATTTTACTTAATTATTCATGAGAGACACAGAGAGAGGCAGAGACATAAGCAGAGGGAGGAGGAGGCTTCATGCAGGGAACCTGATGCGGAACTGGATCCCAGGACTGCAGGATCACACCCTAAGCCAAAGGCAGATGCTCAATCACTGAGCCACCCAGGTGTCCATATGATCACAAATGTTAACTAGTTTTCTGTCCCTTTGACTCTTCTCTCTCCTTCTGGGACTTCTATACTGTGAAGAGTGGTTTGCTTGATTTGTTCAGTAAGCTCCTTATTTATCTTTATTTTTATGAAGGACATGTGTTCAGATTCTTCCTATGTTGCCCCCTACCTACCAATAATTCTTGACATCTCCTTTTCTCTCAGTCTTAAAAAACTGCTATTATTTTGAAATATCCCAAATATTCCCAAATATCACTATATTGTTCTCTGTGCTATATTTTACATTCATTTTACAATGTAATTTTTATTATCCATACTGAATAAACCAATTAAAATATATTCCATTACATTTATTATAAAATCCCTTTTCACATCATTAATGCATGATTAAGGTCTTTCCTATATTCCTACATCACATCCTGGACTTCTCCTGACTCATTCTTTAGCCTCACTCTATATTATTTTCTTTTCCTTATGTCTAAACACTCTTCTTATAGGCCCAGCTATTTTTTTTTTATTTTTATCCTCTCCACAAGCCTCCTTATATCAGTCTGTCAAGCTTGTTACTATTCAAGTATTACTTCACTTGTTTTCATTGAAAAGTTTTCAACTCTTTAATAAACATCTTTGTTCCTTCTCTGTCATATCCCAACATAATTATTTCCATAATTATTCCTAGACCACTTTATCAGAAAGTTTCTTCTCCTAATATTTTCTCTATTTATTTTTTTCTTGGCATCTGTCATAAACTGTTTAGATCTTGCTTGTTCTTTTGTCCTTTTAAAATCTTCTGTCCCTGATGGACTAATATATTTAGGACTTATCTATCTTGTTAACCTTTTGTAAGTCAAAGTAACACAATAACCAAGACACAGTAGATGCTTATTAATAATTTGAAGGTGAATTAAATTTTACCCAGGAAGCCATCATCAACATTCACTTTCTCCCTACAATATCACATAGAATATAGAATAAGCACATTTTTTACAATATCAGATACTCTCTTTAATAAACATTAAATAATTGCATGTTTATCTAATAAATAATTCTCTTAATCAGATTATATTGAAAGACATTATACATTAAAAATATTACAAACATTTCCCAAGGGAAGATACAGATTTAACAAAAATAAAACCTTACATTGCTTTGGCGTTCATTATGCATGTAGCTCCTGGGCAGTAACAAGTGAAGATGTCATTATTATATGTTAATCCCAGACTAATTCCAAGCAACTGTGCTATAACAACTGAAAACGCCTCTAAAGTTATCACCTGTGGATACTAAATAAACAAAATATCAGAATTGTTATCTAAGTTGTGTATTCATCTATTTTATCTTTTCAAGTAAATGTAAATACAAATTTAAGAAAACCTAGTATACCAAAGATTATTTGCTTAAAAATTTGGAAAAAAATAGTAAATTTTGTTATTTTCTTTGAGTAATGGTATTTTTAGTCCAAATAGCATTGACAAATAACAATTAAGATCAATGAAATCATTTGACATGTTACTAATATTTATATTTTTTAAAGATTTTATTTATTCATGAGAGACACACAGAGAGAGGCAGAGACATAGGCAGAGGGAGAAGCAGGCTCCCTGTGGGAAGCCTGATATAGGGCTCCATCCCCGGACCTGGGGATCAAAACCTGAGCCAAAGGCAGATACTCAACCACTGAGCCACCCAGCTGCCCTGACACATTACTCATTTAAATTCTATTTTTTTATTTTTTTAAATTTCTTTCCTTATTTATTTGAGAGAGAGAGAGAGAGAGAGAGAGAGAGAGAATTTTAAGCAGGCTCCATACCCAGCATGGAGCCCAACATTGGGCTCAATCTAATGACCCTAAGATTATGGATGAGTCAAAATCAAGAGTTGGACACTTAATTAACTGAGTTACACAGGTGCCCTTAATCTATTTTTTTTAATTGAGAAGAATAAGCATTGCTCCAGTAACTATATTACTTTTCAAGTCAACACTCAGAAAAAATACACAGGTTCTTAAGGCTTGACTTGGCAAATAGTATGGACTTTAGAAATAGTTTTAGGGAGGAAAAAAACAAATTAACTGTTTTCTAAAGGTGGAATACTAGAATATCTTGCAAGTAGCATTTCGTTTGTCTTAAAAAGTAAAACTTGAGAAGTAGTGATATTGGCAACACAGAAACCCCTGGCAATCAATAACCTTGGCATTATCTCCATAGTTTTGCCTTTTATGGAATGTCACAGAATAGTAATAATAATACAGTATAATACAGGATAAAACAGTTTTTGGTCTTTTCTCCAAATGGCTTCTTTCATGAACAAGTATTAGATTCCTCTATATCTTCCAATCGCTTAATGGTTCACTTCTTAAAACACTGAATGGTATTCCTTTTTATGTATTTATTCCTGTTTGTTTATCCACTGACTTATTAAAAGACATCTTGGTCCCTTCAAATTTTTGGTAATTATGAATAAAGCTGCTATAAATATTCATGTACATGATTTTATGTGGATATGATTTCAACTCATTTAAATGACTGCCAAAGAGGACATATGCTGGATCATATGGTAAGAGTAAGAAATTGCCCAACTGATTTCTACAGTGGCCGTACCACTTTGCATTCCTATCTTCATGAATGAGAGTTTCTGTTCCTCTACATCCTCACAGCATCTGGTATTATCAGTGTTTTGCACTTTCAGTACAAATCTGAAAAGGACTGGTAAGTTACATTCTTGCCTTGTTCCTGATCTCACTGGGAAAGCATTTAGTTTCTCACCATTAAGGTTTTAGCTATAGGTTTTTTTCTAGATGTTTTTTCCTCAAGGAAGATCCCTTCTTGATCTACTTTCTTAAATTTTGTCACAAACGGCATTGGATTTGTCAAATTCTTTTTCTGCATCTATTAATATGATCAAATAATTTTTAAAATTTATCCTATTGATGGCATTGGTTATATTAATTGATTTTCAAATGATGAACCAGCCTTACCTATAAATTCTGGGTAGAGATATCAACAGGAGATATAAACTATTATAAAAAAATTCCAGGGACACTTGGGTGGCTCAGCTGTTGAGCATCTGCCTTCAGCTCAGGATGTGATCCCAGGGTCTGGAATTGAGTCCCGCATCGGGCTGAGGGGGGGCTGCTTCTCCCTCTGCCTACCTCTCTCTCTCTGCCCCTCTCTCTCTCTCTTTGCTCTCTCATGAATAAATAAAATCTTTAAAAAAATTCTAGACCCAAAAAGTACAATAAATGAACTTAAAAATTCACTGGAGGTATTCAAAATCAGATTTGATAAGGCAGATGAAAGAATCAGATCTGAAGGCTGATCATTTGAAATCATCCAGTCATAGAAATAAAAGAAAAAAGAATTAAGAATATAAAAAGAGCCTATTGACCTCAACAAGCAGATTAATGTATGCATTATAAGAGTCTCAGAAAGAGGAGAGAGAGAAAGAAAAGGACAGAGTTTATTTGGAGAAAGAATGGCCACAAACTTCAGAAATCTTGTTTGTAAAAGAAGCTCAACAAATTCTAATCAGGATAAACCCAAAAAGATTCACAAAGATTCCCATTAGTCCAAGACAGGAGAGAATCCTGAAAGCAGCAAGACAAAAGTGACAAATATAGTAACATGCATTATTGTAATTTTGGTGGATAGAATTGGAAGACAAATACCGAAAAACAAAACAAATCCTATTATCTGTAATAGAACTACAGAGGATAGAGACACATGGGTGGCTCAGTAGTTGAGCATCTGCCTTTGGCTCAGGACATGATCCTGGAGTCCTGGGATCAAGTCTTAATCGGGCTCCCTGCATGGAGCCTGCTTCTCTCTCTGCCTGTGTGTCTGCCTCTCTCTCTGTGTCTCAAATAAATAAATAAGTAAATAAATAAATACATAAGTAAATAAATAAATAAATAAATAAATAAATAATAAAATCTTAAAAAAAAACTATAAAGGTTAGAATAGAACTATAGAACTATAAAGGACAGTGTTTTTGTATGCATTTAAATGTAAGCTATTAATAGAAATATTAAAAAATAACCCCCAAATTAATATGGAATCCCAAGGAACACTAAATAAATATGCCAATTTCAAAAAAGAAGAACAAAATTGAAGGACACATTTCCTGATTTCAAAATGTATTACAAAGCTACAATAATCAAAACAGTATGGTACTGGCAATACAGATAGACATAAATATCACTGAACAAGATTACATATCCTAGAAATAGATCCTTACATGTATGATTAAATGATCTATAAAAGGGGATCAAGATGAGATAATGCAGAAATGACATTCTCTTCAACAGGTATACTCAATAGATAAAAGATAGCTTTTTCAATAAATGGTGATAGGAACTTTGCATATCCACATACAGAATAAAGTTGTATCTATGTACTTCATATACAAAAATTGCTTAAAAACAGCTTAAAAGTCTAAACAGTAGATTGGGTAACATTTGGGTAAATCTAAAGGGTAAATCTAAATTTGGTAAAAATCTAAAGGGCAAGATTTGGGCAAAATTCAAAACTATAAAACTCCTAAAAGAAAACACAGAGGAAAATCTACATATTAGGTTTGACAATGATTTCTTAGATATCATGCCAAAAGCACAGGCAACGAAAGCAAAAATGGACAAATGGGACTACACCAAACATAAAACTTCTGTGTTTCAAAGTACATAATCAACAGAGTATAAAGACAACCTACAAAATGGGAAAATTTGCAAATCCTCTATCTGATAATGGATTAACATCCAAAATATAAAGAACTCCTACAATACAAAAACAAAAAATCAAATTCAAATCAACCAATTAAAAATTGGACTAAAGACATGAATAGATATTTCTCCATAGAGGATATACAAAAGACCAGAAAGCATATGAAAAGATCTTCAATATTACAAATAATCATAGAAATGCAAATCAAAGCCACATTGAGATACCCAATAGGATGGTTACCATAAAAAAGAAAAAGCAACCACAGAAAATAATAGATGTTGGCGAGGACGTGATGAATATAATGTGAACTGCTGGTGGGATTATAAAATTGTAAACCACCCTCAAAATCAGTATGATGGTTCCTTAAAGTATTAACGATAGGATTATCATATGATCTAATAAACAAACCCACTTCTGCATATATATCCAAAATAACTGAAATCAGTATCACAAAGAGATACCTGTACTCCCACATTCACTGCAGTATTACTTATGATGGCCAAGGTATTTAAAGCAACTTAAGTGCTCACTGACAGATGAATGTAAAAATAAAATGTCACCCCCACACACACACACACGATATGGAATGTTACTTATCCATAAAAAGAATGAAATCCTGTTATTTGCAATGACATGGATGAACCTAGATGGTACTATGCTAAGAGAAATAAGCCAGACACATGAAGACACATATCAGATGATCACCATTATATATGGAATCCAAAAATATCATACTCACAGAAGCAGACAGTAGAATGGTGAGTGCCAGGGGCTAGAGGGTTTGGAAAATGGGGCCATGTTGAATAAAAGGACAAAGCTACATATATGCAAGATGAAGAGTTCTGGAAATCTGTTACATAATAATGGAACATACATACTTAACACTACTGACATATATACACTTAACAGTTAAGGTGGTAAATTTCATGTTGTATATTTTTCCCTCAAAATTTTTTTGAAAATTGTAATATGTGAATTTCAAAATCCGAATAAAAATTATTTTATAAAAATGTCTCAAAACAGCATAATAGATATGCTATATGTACTTTTGCTCCTTGAAGTGGATATTAACTTTCAAAATGTGATATAATTACCAAATAGATGGGAATAAAATGCATACCAGAGCAATTCCTGCAGCAAACTTTGGATTGCATGCCATTCCATGATATGTTGCTCCTACATAATTAGGACGATCCCTATAACTAAATACCAAAATTTTTCTTGTAAATAAATACATTTTAAATTTTTAATAACTTAATGAACTTTTAAGAATTGGGCTCCTTAGTAAAAAAAAAAAAGCTGTGCTTTGAAACTTGAATATTACATATCACATCTAGTGTTTTTAATCATTTTGTATTTGAATAACTTCCCACAGTTCCTACAAAGTTAAGTTCCATAGCTTATTTTAACATTATATGATGCACAGCCCCAAACCCACAGTGACTAATCCATCCAAAATACTAATCATAACCGTTACCATGACTGGATGAATATAATTCTAAGGTGTACAAGTCAAGATAGCTTACTGCCATGATTTGCACATAGTGAGCCTTTAAGGTGTGTAAAAATGTTGAATTGGAGGATAAGGAGGGAAAGAAGAATGTGCAGTACACTAACGAAAAGAGAACTCAGAAAGTGTCCTCACACATTTCAATTCTGTTAATGTTGCTCCTGAGCTCCCGTATCAGACTTTAAAAGCCACAGGAGACACCAATAGATTTGTAAATGTATTCCATATTGCTTAAGACCTTCAGAATTGTATTTTTATTTTTCCCCATAAAGAATAAAGTTAAGTCAAGCAAACATCTATATGAAAACTTTTGAAAGATATAGTGCATATAGTGCATATAACTATATATATATAATATATATGGTATATATATTTATATTCTGACCATATATATATGGTCAGAATATAAATACCAGAAAGTAACCACATTACTATTAAATTTAATTTTTTTTGCATAACCAGCTTTATATATAATTATTTTATTTTGTTAACTAATTTATATTTTACTTAATGTTAAAACAATAGTTTCAGTTCTTTAACTCTGAGAAAAATCTTTAAAATCCTTGAGGCCCATGTTGCTCCAAGGCTTTCCAAATTTCCAAATTTATTACATTTCCATGGATAAACAGTCCACTCTGAGAATAATGGCCTACCATGATTTAGTGTCTTACATTGTTATCAAATTTTTATATTTTACGTTTCGCTAACACAGTATGCATATAATTTTTGAAGTTTCCTGTCATTATATATAACACATTTTGTATTTAATTTTGATAGCTAACATATCACATAATTTGATAAGCCCTACCTCCATGAAAATAATGCACTTACATTAATAAATATGCTAGATCATGGGATCTTTGAAACAAAAATTGTTCTTTCCATGACACAAATCTCTGTAGTACTTCATCAGCATCCGCATTAGTTGAAATCATATTTTGATCTGACCAGAACTCCAAAGAAGTTAGCTTAACAGTCACTTTAAGCTGGGAGAACATCTAAAAATAGGAGATACACCACATGCAGGTTTAGGTAGTAATAGGTATTACATTACATCTCTATACATAATGCTAACATACTTATTTTTGGAGGTGAAATCCATTGGTGAATGAAACTAGTTGGTAAGACTACTTAATAAAATTACAAATGCTATTTACACAATGTTATTGCATTAATAGGATGCTTAAAATTTAAATGAAAAATACTTACAGTATTAACAAGACCAAAGATATGGACAACTTTCTCAGCTGCAACTGCCACTTCAGAGCCCATATAATCAAACTGAAAGAAAAATTTTGTTTCACTATTGAATATTACTAAACTACCACATTTTAAATGTATATAATATGGTAAGGGGCACCTGGGTGGCTCAGTCAGTTGAGCTTCTGCATTCAACTCAGGTCATGATCCCAGGGTCCCGGGATCAAGCCTCCCTCTCTTGCTATCTCTCTATCAAATAAATAAATAAAATCTTTAAAAAAATGTTAAAGTAAAGTGGTGCTCAGTGAAAGGAAAAAAGAACTAAGATTTATCAATTGCTTAGTTAGTTTTAGGTTTAAATATAGGGAGCATATGTATTAATAATATTAAATGAGAAGGTTGTGAATATTTTCCTCTTTACACAGAAAAGTTAAGGGTTGAAAGTTAAGATGCCAAGATTCTATAACTACTAAGCATAAGAACCAGGACTCAAATCTCTAACTAAACTACAAAGTCATTTTTATCTACTCTATCTGCCACCATTTATCTTCATTGTAGTAAGATAACATGACTATGTATCCTGGATAAACAATGTACCATAATAAAAGAAATTCAAGCAACTGTTCTCATTCAAGGAAACAAAAATCACATATTTTCTCTTAAATACTTTAATAGTATGTGTACACACATTTCTAAGTTTTTTGCTGAAAATGAAAAGTGGCAGTTTGAGATTCTTCTATAATTTGCACCACGTCTGCTGAAAACCACTAACAGAAAATAAAACGTAATATCCTCCTAGTCTCCAGAAATTATGTACTTTGCTATTTCTCTGCATGTAATCTTTCCCAATAAATTACATTGTATATTTACACAGTGTAGCATGTGCACTATGAGTGAAGGTGAATAAAGGCCTATATAAAATAATGAGAGAATATATATATTTTTTCAAACATACATGAATGTTTTACATAAATTGACCCATATTAGGCCATTCAAAAGCTATTTGAATATAAAACATTAAGCGTCACTTAGATCATATTGTCCAACTATAATGCAATTAAGTTATAGTAGACTTAATATAAAGTATTTTAACAATGTCATTTTTACTTACATGGATAACTATTGTGTTTATATAAGATAATGATCTTATTCTAGGTAAATGCACACTGAAAATGAATCTCCATATTGCAATTTACAACTTACTTTTGAACAGAGCACAATTGATAATAGGATACAATATTCATAAATCTAAGTAAAGAGACTTATAAGTATTTTTTGTCTTATTCTTCTTCTTGCAACTTTTTTTGAAAGTTTGAAAATATTTCCAAATAAAACATTTTAAAAGTGAGGATAAAAATAACTTCAGATGAACAAAAGCTGAAGCAAATTCATTAACCGGCTAAACATCAGAAACACAGACTACAAGGAAAGAAGAGCTTTGAAAATGGTAAATGTGAGAGAAAAATGAATTTTTTTCTTTTCCTTAATTTCTTTAAGCAATTGAATATTTAAAAAATAATTTCTTTTATGGTTTATAACCAATGGCAGAGTAAAATGTATTACAATAATACATAGGGTTATTTTTATAATTATTTTCATTAATTTTTAATTTGAGTGTAGTTGACAATGTCACATTAGTTTCAGGTGTACAGCATAGTAATTCCTCCCATAGTGTAAACAAACAACACCTCGTATTACCACAAGTGTAGCTACAACTTGTTGCCATACAAAGCTATTATAATATCATTGACTCTATTCCTTTTTTTTAAGATTTATTTATTTATTTATGATAGACAGAGAGGGAGAGGGGGAGTCAGAGACACAGGAGGGAGAAGCAGGCTTCCATGCCGAGAGCCTATGTGGGACTCAATCCCAGGACTCCAGGATTGCGCCCTGGGCCAAAGGCAGGCACTAAAACGCTGAGCCAGCCAGGGATCCCCACATTGACTCTATTCCTAATGCTATGCTGTGCCTTTTATTTCTGTAACATTCATTCCATAACTGGAAGACTCTCCCACTCCCTTTCACTCATTTTGCCTATCCCCCACTCCCTCCACTCTGACAACCATCAGTTTTTTCTCTATTTATGTATCTAATTTTTTTTCTTTTCCTTTTTTTTTTTTTGATTCCACATGAGTCAAATTATATAGCACTTCTTTTTCTGACTTCTTTCATTTAGCAGAATAGCCTCTAGGGCAGCTCACAAATAGCATGACCTCATTCTACTTTATGGCTTGTAATAGAACCACAAAAGTTCCCAAAAAGCCAAAGCAATGTTGAGAAACAAGAACAAAGCTGGAGGCAACACAATTCCATATCTCAAGTTGTATTACAAAGCTGTAGTGATCAAAACAGTATAGTACTGGTACAAAAGTATACACATAGATCAATGGAACAGAATAGAAATCCCAGAAATAAATCCACAATTAATAGTCAATCAATCTATGACAAAGGAGATAAGAATATACAATGAGGGAAAAGACAATTTCTTCCGTAAATGATATTGTAGAAACTGGACACCTACATAAAAGAATGAAACTGGACCACTTTCTAACATCATACACAAAAACAAACTCAAAATGGATTAAATATGTAAATGTAAACCCTGAAACCATAAAAATCCTAGAAGAGAGCACAGGTAGTAATTTTCTGACATCCACCATAGCAACATTTTTCTAGATATGTCTCCTAAGGCAATGGAGGAAAAAAGCAAAAATAAACTATTGGTACTACACTAAGATAAACAGCTTTGGGGGAAAAAAAACAAAGCTTTTTAATGGTGAAAGAAACCATCCATAAAATGAAAAAAACAACCTACTGAACAAGAGAATATGTCTGCAAATGATAGGTCTGTTAAGGAGCTAATACATAGTGGTTAAATGGAACTTTAATGTTATAAACTTCTTACATTATATGTGAAGTGGTATAATATTAATTCTATATTGTGATAAGTTAGGAATCTTAATTTGAACCAACAGAGAAACCACTGGGGTAAGAAGTGGGACAAAAAGAGATTGTAGGAAAAAACAATATAGAAGATAAAGATTGGTTTATCTTTACAGGAGATAAAGATTGGATTAGTGGGTTATTTTTAAAAATTTTTATAACCCACTAATCCAAGGGCAGCAACGGAGGAACAAAGGAATAAATAACAGGACACACAACACTAACAGCATAGCAGTATCCACAGTACTAGTTGTAGGACCCAGGAAATTTAACAAAATCCCCTACCTCTGGACAAGCAGGGCAGGACTGACTCTATTTTGGGATGCACCCGCCTTGTGCTGACCTGATTATTACTTACTTAGGGCACTGCCCCGCTCTAGTCAAAGACCAGGGCACACCCTAACCGGAAATCCAGCTCAGCGGACCAGCATGACTGCAACTTTCTGCCTATCCCATTGGCCACTGGCCCCTATAAAGCTGCTACGCCTCTTAGTGTCGGGGTCCAAGTACCTGCTCCGCTGCGCCTGGTATGCTTGGACCCAGGCTCGAGCTTCCTTTTTTCTTTTTTTTTTTTTTAATTTTTATTTATGATAGTCAAGAGAGAGAGAGGCAGAGACACAGACAGAGGGAGAAGCAGGCTCCATGCACCGGGAGCCCGATGTCGGATTCGATCCCGGGTCGCCAGGATCGCGCCCTGGGCCAAAAGCAGGCGCCAAACCGCTGCGCCACCCAGGGATCCCCCAGGCTCGAGCTTCTAAATAAACCCTCGTGTGATTGCATTGGTGTCGGCTCCTTGGCGGTTTCTCGGATTCGCGATCTTGGGCACAACACTAGTAATTTTGATAAATATAAATTAAACATTCCAATGAAAAGCCAGGGATTTTCTGAGTAAGGAGAAAAAATAGTTTACAGAGTCATATTTTAAAATTTAAGACAGATATACAACATAAAAAAGAAACGGAATACTAATCATAGGATATTATAAAAACTCTGGAGTTCTTTGTTGTTATTTTTGCATGATGATATGTGCATTGAAAAGGCCTTCTGTTTTATTGGAATGGTCAGAAGATAGCCCGTTAAATAGAAAGGAAAGTAGGCTGTCTAGATTTAATATTAACAACCTCATGGAGGTGGCTGTTGCAGAGCATAATTTCAATGCTCATGATACTGGTGTTAAGTATTAACATTCCCCACATAACAAAAATCTAAATCTAAATGCCCCAAAGGGCAATAGTTAGTAAAATAGGTTAAATTATATTAAATATATCAGACACTATGTAAGTGTTAAAATAAAACTGTAATGATATATTTCATTAATATGTGGAAAAACAGGGGCAGCCTGGGTGGCTCAGCGGTTTGGCGCCAGGGCATTATCCTGGAGGCCCGAATCTAGTTCCATGTCAGGCTCCCTGCCTGGAGCCTGCTTCTCTCTCTGCCTGTGTCTCTGCCTCTCTCTGTCTCTCTCTCTGTCTCTCATGACTAAATGAATAAAATCTCTTAAAAAAACATGTTTAAAAAATATGTGGAAAAACATAATAAAATAACTTACAAAATAGCATATATAAAACAAAGGTATAAGAACATATACATATATATATTAAAAACAGAAATGTGTACATAAAATTTACCTCCTGATAATAAAATTATATGTGCTTTTTTCTTTATTATGTCTATCTATTCTTTCCTGTTGTTTTTATTAAAATTATTTAAAGATCTAAATATTTCCTTTTACCAACAAAATTTTATGTTGAAAATTATGGCACTTATCGACAGACTTTAGGCAAAAATATTAGTGATAATGAAAAGATCAGATTTATTTTTTTTAAGACTTTATTCATGAGAGACACAGAGAGTGGCAGAGACATAGGCAGAGGAAGAAGCAGGTTCCCTGCTGGGAGCCCAAAGTAGGACTCAATCCTGGGACTCTGGGATCACGCCCTGAGCTGAAGGCAGACATTCAACCAGTGAGCCACCCAGGTGTCCTGAAAAGACCAGATTTCTTAATTGCTACCCATAATGACTTGGCTAAAACTGATTATATAAACAAAAACTGAATGAATATTCCTATGAATAATTCTTCCTGTTTTCAAAATACATTATTTCCGGACACCTAGGTGGTTCAGTGCTTGAGCATCTGCCTTTGGCTCGGGTGGTGATCCTGGGGTCCTGGGATCAAGTCCTGCATCAGGCTTCCCACGGGAAGCCTGCTTCTCCCTCTGCCTATGTCTCTGCCTCTCTGTTTCTCTCATGAATAAATAAGTAAAATCTTAAAAAAATAAAATAAAATATAGAATTTCCATCAGAGAATCCAAGAAATTGTAGAGCATAAAATAATCTTATAAAAGGTCATTTTCAGCAGCCCGGATGGCTCAGCAGTTTAGCATCACCTTCAGCCCAGAGCATGATCCTGGAGACCGGGGATGGAGTCCTGCATCAGGCTCCTTGCATGGAGCCTGCTTCTCCCTCTGCCTGTGTCTCTGCCTCTCTCTCTCTCTCTCTCTGTGATTATCATAAATAAAAAAATAAAAATTAAAAAAAATTAAAATAGAAATTAATTTGTGTAAGAATTTCATCACTATTTGGAGTGCATCCAGAAGTATATACAGCTCATTATAATTGACTAGATTATAATGTAGCAGAACCTTTCCATACATATAAATTATATAGTTTTGCTAAAATTCTATATTGATTTTGAAACCAATAATATAAATATTAGCCCCCAGTGCCAATGCAAAGGCAATGGACAACATTTCTTTATGTCTTGCTACACTGAGATACACATTTCAGAGTAAAATATATCTGTATTTCAGACAAATGGAATTTTCTTAATTTCCTTTGAACTTAAACACAAAACAAAGATACTATCAATATCAATAATGCATACCAAGGCTTTATCCATAATGATTTGTATTTTCAGAATTCTTTGTAATAGTATATCTGAATCTTTCTGCAAAACAGATGACATGAATTAAATAAAACATAAAAATAAAACATTTTATAAGAAAAAATTCTTCTATTATCATATACATTATTTGTGTGTGCACATACACACACACAGAGGGATGGACGAATAAATAAATAGGTAAGATAGCTCACTACAGATACATAAAGATACATATAGGTCAAAGGAAAATAAAGGATGGAAGGCCACTGAATAAATAAGCAAGTGAGATTCCAAATAAAAGTTTTAGGAATAATCAAAAGCTTTTATCTTACATTTTTATTAGAATCCTCAAAAACGTTACTGAAATGAGGGAGAATCCATGTTTCCTTTTTCTCAAATCTTCATCTTAGACCCTCCTCCAACCTTCATGTTAAATTAATGACCATCATCTTTCCCCCAAACATTGCCTTTAATTTCTCTTTTTTAAATGCTTTCAATTCTTTATGTTAATTCTATCACAGTTTATTCATTGATATTAATGTATACATCCATGTAACCATTTCTATATTAAGATAAAGAATGTTTCCATCACACTTTTCCAAGTCAAGAGCACACATGGCTCAAGGCAATCAATGATCTGCTTTCTTTCACCATAGGTTAGAATAATCTATTCCATAATTTCATAAAACTGAAATCATGTGTCACACTTTTATATCTGGTTTCTTTCATTAGTATCCATCTACTATGCTGTGATTATTCATAATTCATTAGTGTTTATTGCTAAGTAGCGTGCCATTGTAGAAATATATCCCAATTTGTTTACATATTTACCTGTTGATAATCACTTGGATTATTTAGAAACTGTAGCTATCACAAATAAAACTATGAATATCCATGTAGAGGTCTTTGTGCAATTATGTTCTTTAATTTTTCTTGGGAAATCTTTAAAAATGGAATGCCTGTCATCTGGTAACTGTAGGAGTGTAAAGTAGGACAAAAGTGCCAGATTGGTTTCTAAAAGCATTTTGATCATTCTGCATTTTTACCAAGAACTAAAAATATTGCCAATTACTCCACATTTTTGTCTGTATTTGGCATTATCAGTTTTTTTCATTGTATCCATTCCTGTAGGTCTGTAGTGATATCTCATTGAGGTTTTAATTTGTAGTTTCCTGATGATTAATGATATCGAACATCTTTCACAGGCTTATAGCTCATTAATTTGGTTTCTCTTTTAAGTTATGTAGCAATTTTATGCTTAGTCTTGACATTTGTCTATGCTCTAATTTTTCTGAATAAGGGCCAAAATTTATGTCATGTGAATATCCAGTCTTTTAGCACCACTTGTTGAAGAGTTCATTCTTTAAGTCCTTCTTAGCACCTTTGTGGAAAACCAATCAGCCAATAGCATGTGTATTTCTGACCTATTTTGATCTACTGATCAATATGTACTCATTTATATTAATAACACAATTTGCATCTCTACAGCAGGGGCCAGCAAATATGGCCCAAGACATGGCCACCGGTTTTATAAAAAAAAAAGATTGTTATACCAGAGGCATACCAATTTGTTTATAGATCCTCTAAGCTGTTTTCATGCTACAAAGGCTGAATGAAGTAGCTTCAACAGATCATCTGCCCCACAAATCTAAAATATTTACACTCTGGCCCTTTAAGAGAAAGATAATAGAAGTCCTTCATCTTGTTCTCATTTTTCAAACTAGGTGAGTAATCTAGGATACTTGCATTTCTCCTTGAAAGTTTGAAGACCAACTTCCACAAAAAAGTTTTCTGTAATTTCGATTGTAATTACACTGAATCTATAGATCCATTAGAAGAAAATAAACATTTTTAATAACATCAATTTCTTTCTTTACTGTGATCTTGCTAGACTCTCTTATTAGTTCTGGTGCTTTGGAGGGGAGTGTTTAATCTTTTCTTTTTTTATAGAAAACATCTTTTTCTTTCTCTGTTTTTCTTTTCTAATTCAATTAGCCAACATATAGTACATCATTTGTTTCATGTAGTGTTCATTAATTTATCGGTTGTGTACAACAACCAGTGTTTATCACGTCATGTGCCCTAACTGATGTCCATCACCCAATTACCACATCCTTCCACCCACTTCCCCTCCAGCAATTCTCACTTTGTTTCCTGTATTTAAGAGTCTTTCATGTCTTCTCTCCCTCTCTGATGACTTCCCATTCAGTTTTCCCTCCCTTCTCCTAAGATCCTCTGAGCTGTTTCTTATATTTCACATATGAGTGGAACCATGTGATAATTTTCTTTCTCTGACTTATTTCACTCAGCAGAATACTCTCCAGTTCCATCTACATCTACATAAATGATAAGTATTCATCCTTTTTGATGGCTGAGTAATATTCCGTTGTGTATATTATCACATCTTTATCCATTCCTCAGTCAATGGACATCTCGGCTCTTTCCACCATTTGGCTACTGTGGACATTGCTGCTATGGACACTGGTTTAGTATTTTCTATGTACAGATTTAGGTCACTTTAAGAAAAAAGACATTTTTTCTTTCAAAAATGTATGCCCTTTCTTATTCTTTCTCCTATTGCACCACTCTAAAGGAACTCTAGGAAAAAGTTGGCTGGAAATAGTGAGGGCAGATAGCCTTGCTTTATTCTTAATCTTATGGGCTGTTTTAGTCAGTTCAGGCTCTAATTAATAAATATGCCATAGACTAGGGGGCTTAAACAATGAACATTTAGTTCTCACATTCCTAGAGATTGGGAAGTTCAAGATCAAGGCACCAGCAGATGGGCATCTGGTGAGAGCACTCTTCCTACTTTGCAAACGGCTGTCTTCCTCTTGTATGTTGATGTGAGGGGGCACAGAGATATCAAGGAAGTTTTCCACATCACAGTTTTTTTTTATCATGGATAGGTACTGAATTTGGCCAGATGATTTCTGGAACCATTAATACGGTTGTGTGGTTTTGACAAAAATCTATTAAATTGTTTCATTCCTGTTTGCTATGCCAATTTGAATCATAGTGCTTCAAAGTCGCATAGATATAATAGTCTCAAAATTCTTGAAAAAGTACAAATGCTTTTTTTTACTATACTGACAAGTTGACCAGATAAAAAACCGTTGAGATTTGTATACGTGCTAGAGAAGCTATTCTATATACTACAGATATACATATCTTATAAGCACTTCATTTGGCAAAGGCAAAAGCCAGTTTTTCTCCTTTATGGAGGTCTCTGAGGCCAAGATGCCTGTAAGTTTATTTATGATTTATTTATAAAGTTTAATATATTAATAATATTATAGTTCAGTATTCCCAGTTTTAAATTAGGGTTTCTTAATTTCTTTTTTAAATTCAAGACTTTTTTCAACAAAGTTTTATTCTTTAATAATTTGAATATCTTGGGTGCTACTTTATTCATTAATCACATTTTTTTATTATCTTGAACTGCCATTATCAGTCTCTCATACCATACTATTCAGGGTTTCCCAGAAAAACAGAACCAATAGGATGTGTTTTATTATTTCTTATAATTAGATTATAAGGAATTGGATAACATGATTATGGAGGTTAGCAAGTTCAGAACTTGAAGAGAATAAGCCAGCGGCTGTAAACCAAGTGAGAACTGCTATTTACCTCAGGTTTAGAAACCATTAGAATAGAAACCCAGGGTAATGATGCTACAGTACAAAGGTAATCATCTAGAGAATTCTGTCTTACTCAGGGGGTGGTCAATCCTTTTGTTTCATTCAGGGCTTCACCTGATTGCATTAGGCCCCTCCACATTATGGGAGGAGTCTGCTCTACTCAAAGTCCACTGATTTAGATTTTAATCTTATTCAAAAACATCCTCACAGAAATATCTGGAAAATATAACTATCTAGGGAATGTGGCCTAGTCAAGTGGACATATAAAATTAACTCTCCTATATTCTTAGCTTTTCTCTAGCATCATTTTTATTTCATTGCTTTCTCTATTCTCTCAAACCTAACTATAATATTATAAATTAGGGTTTTAGAGTGTCATTCAGAAGTTCTTTTATCAATATCTTTTATTTTTAAAATAGTTTTATTTTTCCTCTTACCTTTATTTCCTGAGCACTTTCAGGGAAATTTTATTTATTTATTTTTAATTTTTATTTATTTATGATAGTCACACAGAGAGAGAGAGAGAGGCAGAGACATAGGCAGAGGGAGAAGCAGGCTCCATGCACCAGGAGCCCGATGTGGGATTCGATCCCGGGTCTCCAGGATCGCGCCCTGGGCCAAAGACAGGCGCCAAACCGCTGCGCCACCCAGGGATCCCTCAGGGAAATTTTAAAACAGACTATATAAAGGTATAATATTAGACTGCTACAGAACATTCTCTGGGGTAATATTCTCTGGGTTTGAGTTTTAATGCTACATATTACAAGAGAATTTCACAGTATAAAAATGGAAATTCTCTAAATCTCTATTTCCTGATCTATAAAAGAAGATAACAGTAACCTTAAAATTGTTGAAAGAACTGGGAAGGCAGGGTACATGTAAAGCTCTTAGAACACCATGTGGCACCTATGAGGCAGTACCTAAATATAGTTTTTTAATTTTGTGCTTTTCTATATTGCATTTTATATTTATATTTCATATACTCCATGTTTGTCCCCTTCTAGTTACTATTATTTTAGAATATATGTAGTTCTTTCAAGTCAAACCATTCTTTCAAGTCAAATTTCATAATAAAAGTCAAACAATGAGTTTTATTTTACTATAAGAAATGGCCAATTATCTAAGGATGTTTGCTCCCTTCTCCAAGAGAAAAGATGTCAATGAGACACCTGTCCAGGCTCAAGTGTATTGAGGTGGGGATGCATACACCCTTCACCCTCTACTCTTGACTAAATTCAAATAATCTAGTGAGGGGGACTCTTAGAGGCCCTGAATCAGAGCTAGGAAGGGAAACAATCAGGGGAGTTTCATCCACTTGGGCATTTTCATGAGCAAGACATAAACCTGTTAAGCCACTGACAGTTGGAATTGTTTGCTTCCAAATCTCAATGACCTAATAGTGATTCTTATGAAAAATACAGATTGAGGACAGCTGCTTACACAGGTCTTCCATCTTTTCATTTGGTTGACAGTTCATGATATTTGACAACTATTATTTTTGGATCTGGTTGTGATGGTGTCTGGCTACTATCTTCAATCAGGATGAGATTAGAGTCTCTTTTTTCCACTCAATTGTGGTTTGTTTGTTTTTATATTAGGAAGAATGTTTCACATTAGGAAGAAATAGTTTTAGTAAAAAAAAAAACCCTCAATTCTGTAGTTCTGGATTGGTATAGAATTACAGATTAGAAACTATTTTGCCTAAGTATTTGTGCCATCACCTTTCAAGTATTGCTGTAGGAAAATTTCATGCCATTCTGCATCTTGATCATATATAAGAAACCAAAAATTTTAATATCAGTTCAGAAATTCACCTTAAGTAATTCTGAGTTTTCTTAAATTGTTTTATGAGTTATTTGATTCAATTTTCTCTATTTATTGATACTGAAACTTCTACCACCAATATTGTTCTTTTAATCTCAAATTTCTGTCATTTGTCTTTGTTCTTTCTTTTTGTATAATTTCTGGAATTTAATACTGTGAACTTTCTATTGAGCGTTTACATTTTTATTATCATACTTTTAATTTCCAACAACTGTTACTTACCTGTGGAATGGTATTTTTTAAATTACACTTCATTCTTATTTTGTGGATAAAATATTTTTTCTGTATCATTTTATTTTCTTCACCCTCTGTGTTCTTTGGTTCCTCAAACTTGAAAATTTGGATTTATTCATGTCTCTATCTTCCACGTTAAATTGTTCGATCATATGTCTAGTACCTCTTCATATTAACAATTGAACTTTTAATAGCTTATTTCAATATCTTTATGACTATATATGGAGTTTATGGGCTGTTGTGTTGTGTTTACAGAGAGTAATTTTGTCTGGGTTGGTTAGGAAAACCCTGCTGTTAATGTGGTTAGTTTTTATTATTTTGGCATGTTTGATTCCCTCCTGAAGAGGGGTCTTCCAATATACTTCTTAGAATGTGTAAGCCTGGCTCACAATATCCAGTGTGTCAAATTTAACTTAAGCACACAAGTCTTAGTATGGTACTCCTCCTCTATTAGGAAATACAATGGGAAATATGTGCCTGGTATCTCCATTTCATAGGCTCCCCAAAGAAAACAGCCTTCATTGATCTGTCAGTCTACAACAGAGACAATTAGTTAAGAAAAGGAATGAAGGTTTCTACATAGTTATACAACTGCACTTACCTTTGGAAAATAACATTTTATCCATTCTTATTTTCCTTACAAATGCATATGCTTAGTATTTTAATAGATGCTAACCCATATATTATCTAATTGTAAATTATAATAAGTGTAACATGTGTATTATCACCTTAATAGCAAAAAAATAAATTTCAAAGAAGTACATGTGGTTATATCACTTTTTTTTGTTTAAAAATATCTATGCACTGATACATCTAGATTTATAACTAGGTATATAAAAAGAATTGGAATAAATAATCCAAAATTCTAAGCACTATTTCTAGATGATGACCTTGGACAATTTCTTCCTTCCTTTCTAATTTTATTTTTTTTAATCAAACTAATAAAGAAAACATGTATTGTCAAGGAAATGCAGACAAACTAAAAATAAGTAAATGAGGATTTCATTATATTTTAGCATGCAAATTTGGTAACAATGAACCTATGTTTATATGCATCAAAACACTTTCAATTAAGGAAATGAGAGTACTTTGATTTTTAACTTATGTGAGATTATATCAATTACAGTTTCTAAATACTGTATGACCAAATATAAAAACATATTTAAAATAAAGATCTTACAACAGAAGTTCAATATCTGTTAAATTTTTTCCCAAATATAGCACATTTAAACATAAATAAATTTATTAGAAATAACACAAATTAAGATTTCATAAGAGGGGTTACTTACTTCTGATTTCACAAGAATCTTGTAGGACTTTTGTACCAATTGGGGCATAGGATTTTTGTGTAAGAGAGAAAAATCAATTTTATCATTATTTATTTGATAAAGCATATGCTCATATGCAGCTGTAGAGTCCACTGGCTCAATGCCATAACTGACATTCTCCAACTGCAATAATCCCCTACACATTTAAATACATAAAAAAGAAATAAAAAGATAATTAATATATATTCCCACAGAGAATATAAATCACCATTAAATAATATTTTATAAAAATTTAATAGTGGTCTTTGTAGTTTAGCATCTAAGAACCATCCTTTCTTACATGGATAAGCTTTCAAATCTAATTTTATATCTTTTCTGTCTATTATGTTACTTAGGATTCATTGTGTTTTTAGTATGACTGAGGAATGTGAATACTCCTCATACCAGGGGTTTTTTTACTGCATAAATTTTATGACTGCAAGCCTGGGATGGAGACAAGAGATAGAAAAAAATGATAGGAGGAGGAAGAAAAGAAAGTATATGAGTAAAAACACAATCAAACTCTATTTTCTTTGCCTTCACTCTATCCTTCAAGATATTTCTAAAAATTAAAGAGTCACACAAGATTTTCAATCATGTACATCTCTGGAATATGCCATTACCTAAGTCCAGAACAGGTGCTAAGTGTCACAGCTGATTTTGGAACTTCTGCAGCATATCCTTGATAAAAGCAATGGCCCTAAACAGGAGTATATTAAGATACATTCATGAATTATTTTATATAAAGTTTTTGGTTTATCTTTACTTCCTAACGTTCAGATTTAGTCATTACCATAATATTATTCACCAGGGATTCCTTTTCCTTGTTATCTACTTACAATCTCTTTCTCTTAACCCTCTTTTGCCTAAAAATGATTATGACTTCTGTTCTCCCACAAAATAATTCTTGCTATAATTCTAAATTTTTGATGAACAACTTTCTTATCTGTGTCTTTTCTTTCTCAGCCATACTTTTTCTTCTTTATTTTTCTAACTTATAAAGTTTTATTCAAATATGGTCATTGCAGTTTTAATCTTTATTCTGTTCTATTACCTTAGTTTATTTTACAGACTTACGTTTAATGACTCAGTTGGATTTTTTCCTTTTATTAGGTTATTTAATTTTTTACTTGACATTTCCTGAATACATAATCTATAACTGCTAACTCAATGTAAATAAGATTAATTTGACTTCAAATGTGAACATATCACTTTTTTCTAAGTTACCCAAAAGTATCCTAATTGATATTTCCTCATTTTTATTTCTCTTTAATATCTCATCATATCATTTAATTTATTTAATATCTTACCATTATTAGTTCAAGCTCTCCTCCCCATGGACTTTCGCAGCATTAGTTTCCCCAGGTTCTCCCCTAATATTCTCATTCAGTGAATATTCCCTTCTCTTCCCTTAAAAATCTAGTGACATCTATAATCAATCCTGTTGCTTTGTTAATGCTATGCTATGAAAACTTCAGTGTCATCATATTCTCTTTTATGAATTTGTTTATATGTTATTAGCTGCCAGACATACATCTCTATTAGTAACCATTCACTTTTCCTCAAAACTAGGCTTAACTCCTATCCTCCACCCACTGACAGTGGCAAGGCCTACCGTGTCCCACACCAAGAAATAGTAGCAGCCACCTTTGTCTGCACTAGTTCTAACAGACTGTACCACAAGCCCTTCACAAAAAGGTATAAGGTGAACCATGCCCCAATCCTCTGTCCAGCATCAGACAGTAGTTAAGTCTCTGTAGCTCCTGGCCTTGTGCCAGGGGGAGAAAATGAGCCTCATAAGATAATTCTCAACATCCCCAACACAAAAAGTGACACAAGTAGGAACTGTCCTTACCCAAGGGCACTAATAGCGAGTGAGAAGTGTACTGATAGGGTTAGAGAAGAGCCAGAATAAATGTTATCTATCCCATGGGACCTTCATCAGCCAGCCCCACCTTGCAATACAAAGTGGCCCAGGAGAGTACCTTTTACCACTATAGCCTGCATCAGCAGAGATCCAGCAGGAGCTTGAGAAGAGCCAAAAGAATGAATCACAATAGAATAACATTAAAAGTCTCCCACAAAAAAGAGAAATTGCCTGTGGTACAGTAAATCACAACAAACCTAAACTTAACCTGGGTTACTTGCTTTTAAAAATAGAGTTGAATGTTGAGTATACAGCCAAAAGTCATACACTATACCAAGAACCAAGAAAATCACAAGAATGAGAAAAGAAAGCCACCTGTTAACAATATTGAGATAAACCACATGATGGAACTACCAAAGATTTTAAAGTAGCTGTGATACTATTGCTTCAGCAACCAATTACAAATAATCTTTAAAAAGCTAAAGAACAGAACTAGAAGCCATAAAAACATATTAAAATATTAGAACTAAAAATATATAATAAACAAACCTACAGAAAAAAAAAACATATTTGATAGGCTCATAAGTAAAGTGGAGACGGCAAAGTGGAGACAGCAACCAGTGAACTTGAGAACAGATCAACAGAATTTACTCTATAACACAGAAAAATGAACTAAGAAAATGAATAAAGCCTCAAGAACCTGTGGTACAATAACAAAAGTACTAAAATACATATCAGAATCTGACAAGAACAGAAAGAATTTGGAGCTAAAAAGTATCAAAGAATTAAAGGCTAAAACTATGGTCAGGAAGATAATGGAGGAGGAATCCTTGAATTCTCTCTTCCCTAAAAAACAAATTCAGCAACAATTCACAGACAAATTTCCTTTATAAGGAATCAGAAACTAATTGAAAGGCCCTGCACACTCTGGGAGAATGTCAAATCAGACTTACCAAACCAAGATGGAGGCTTGGTAGACTCTTTCAATGGGGACACTGCCTCGGACCATTACCATATGGTCACAAAAAGACCCTCAGGCTGTCAGCTTGACCGAGACCATGAGAAGGGTTTTTGCATATATCTAGTGCCCCAATTTTTCTGAAGGGGCTAGTCAAAGAACTGTGACCTATTTCACTTGTCTTGAAGCTCTAATGGGTTCAGCACAAACTAGCCACCCAGACAAAAATGGAGATGGTGACTTGGGCTAGTAGACACTATTGATTTTTTCCCCCATGTTACCACTAAACACAGAGTAAATGGACAAAAAGATACCAGCTCTGCTTCTCCTTGGAGATGGAAAAAGTTGATCCATGTGTGCAGTTTTCCTACCTCACCAAAACAGCCCAAAGAATCAGCATCTGTCTCCCATTGCTGGAGCACAGATGGGCCAACCACAATATAATTGCCAGGGTGAGAATAGAGGCAGCAGCTTGTGAGGGTAAATGCTACTAATCCTCTCTCCTCACCAACACAAACAGAGCAGGAAAAAGACACAGATGCATGCTTCCCCTTTGAGAGATATAAAGATTTGGTGGAGGTCTCCAAAATCATTGGCCAGGATGACTTGTTGGGATCCTTTTCTGTACAAGGTCAGTCAGTAAAGACTGAAAATAGCAACTAGTTTTTTCTAATGAGCAGATACCAAAGCAGAGTCAAGTAAAATGAAGAATCAGAAAAGGAAGTTTCAAAGAAAGGAAGAAGATATAGCCAGAAACTGATCTTAATGAAGTTAAATTAATTATCTCACAGAGAATTAAAAATGCTGGGTTCAAGAGAACAATGCATGAACAAAGTGAGAATTTAAAAAAAAGAGAGAGAAAAAACATTTTCTTAAACTATGAAACAGAGGACATAATTAAGATGGAGGAGGAGGGGCCCCTATGCTGGTCTTTTTCCTCAAACATAGCTGGATAAATATCAAATCATTCTGAACACGTAAAAAATCAATCTGAGGACTGAGAGAACAAACTTCATATCCATGGGTAGAGAAATGATCACATCATGGCAAGTAGGAGCTGCAGAGAGTTGATTTGGGAGAGAAAAGAACTGCAAGTGCTATAAAGGGGAGGGAGCCCTGATCACAGAGAGAGACATGAGAGATAGAGAGTGAAAAGATATAGAGATGAATGAGTGAAAGTGTGCACAGGGGCTTGCACAAGAAAAACTGCCCCAATACTATTGACTGCAAAAGAAGGGCTGACTACTGACTACTGCAAGATTTTATAAGCAGCAGAGCTCAAAGCCTGAGGTTTTAGAAATCTATGCCATTTCTAGGGTCCTGCCTGGTGGGCTTAGTGGTGATCCAGTGGGGCAGGAGGCACAGGAGAAGGCAGAGTATTCTGAAGATCCTATGGCCTGAATGATGAGAAACAGTTCCCCTTCTTAGAATGCATTTCAGAGTGGTGGCATGGCCTCTCCAAGGACAAAAGAGTTAGTGGTGCCACCATACTGCCTTGTTCACTAGCATAGGAACAGAGACACCTGCTGAGGGCAGCAAACCTTGACTATACCATAAACTTCAAACTACTGCGTGGTCATATGACTGATTTTCTGAGACAACTGGCAATGGCTAGAGTGTGGTAAGACCCCTAGAGGATCAGCATGGGTCACCACCACACAGTTCCCTAAATTTGGAGTTTTGAAACCCAGTGAGTGCCTGAGTTAAACAGAGGAGTACTGTGCCACCAGATGGCAGATAGTTTGAAAACAGACAGGGTGAAGGTAGGGATCTGATGGAAGAAGGGGACACAAGAAGTGTGAAAGTTTGCTCTTCTGCAAGGGCTTCCTGAAGAGTGGCAGGCATGAACTACCCACTGCAGGGAGGAACTACCCCTATCAGCATTGACCAACTTCAGTGAGCAACACAGCATGCCCTCAGTGGAGGCAGGGCTGCTTACACTAAGCCCCACCCCCACATATATGCCCTGCAAGTATACCTCCACTAGAGTAAGTCAGCCTGAGAATCAGTGCAGCAGGTCCCTCCCCCAAGACCAGCAGAAACTCCTTGCACACACTATGTCTACTGATCACACAGCACTGTAAAACTTCAGCTTTAGCAGAACTAGGATAAACTTCTTTTAACAAGCAGACCAAAACACACTGAGTTAAAACTCGCCACATAGTGGACAAAGTCCAAACACCTGCCACTTTAGGCAAGGAGAAACTCTGCAGAGGACTGACCTGAGGGAAGGAGCAGCCAAAACACAACAGCAGAGTGTACACTCTGAAACACCTTCTAAAGCACCAGGCCCAATATATTACAGGAAATTTTCCTTAGTATAGCCATTACACTCAGGAGCAGGAATATAAGAGGCTTTCCTAACAACCAAACAAAAAATTTAGTGACCTAGACAAATCGACAAGATGGAGGAATTCACCACAAAAAAATAAAGAACAGGAAAAAATAAAGGACTCATTCTTATGTATATCAAAACTGATACAAGTAAGATGCCTGAACCAGAATTTAAATTTTTATTTATTTATTTATTTATTTATTTATGATAGTCACAGAGAGAGAGAGAGAGGCGCAGAGACATAGGCAGAGGGAGAAGCAGGGTCCATGCACCGGGAGCCCGATGTGGGATTCGATCCTGGGTCTCCAGGATCGCGCCCTGGGTCAAAGGCAGGCGCCAAACCGCTGCGCCACCCAGGGATCCCCTGAACCAGAATTTAAAACAACAATAATAAGGATACTAGCTGGGTTTGATAAAAGCATAGAGGACACTAAAGAATCCCTTACTACAGAGATAAAAGAACTAAACACTAGTCAGGCCAAGATAAAAAATGCTATAACTGAGATACAAAAGTTACCAGATGCAGTAACAACAAGGATA